CCTGAGACTTTAGCTTACGACTTATATTATACCTAGTAAGCACAAAACATAATCTGGAACACAATTACTTTTTAATTAAAATGACGTTTCGTTGAGGGATCCTGAACGAAATGTTGCTTTAATTAAAATGGTAAAATTTTCCATAGTAAGTTTTTCTGTTTATTACGTGTGCCAATTTCTAAATGCCTCTCAAGAGAGATGATATTATACGTCTTGTCAAGTTTGTATTTGTGATACACACGTATCTAAAACAACACAGCTTTTCGGAATTTAAGTATTAAAAGAACACAACGTGATGTGTAATCATTAAGTGGCATAAACATTGTGTTCTGTTAACGTGAAGTGTGTATATTGCTACATCAGGTTATCTATTGTAAATTTATATATATATATATATATATGATTACTGGTTGATTCAAATTGTTTGGTTATACGAAAATCGAATCATAAACTGATGCACGCAGATCAATGTTACAATTTATATATTTCAGACGTTTTACAAAACCATGTCTCTAAAATCGTTCTATCGAGTTCTTTCAACTAATGTAGATAGAAAAGGCATAGAATTTATTTCAACTTTTGAAGGTAAAGTATAATAATCATCATGCATTCGCACTGGATCATTGAATAAACTAAGAATTCCGCCAACCCTTTAAAATCTAATCATCAACACAAAACTCTAGCCTATCACTGGATAATTGACTAACAGCCACGATTCCGCGCCAGCAGTCCCTGGTTATTTAAAATTCAAATAGTTTGTATTAATTTCGATGGTCCTACAGATCAGTATCTTTAATCTGTCCAAGCTAAACAGCAAACGCACTCGGCAACCCCCAGCAGATTCCAATACCCTACATCTAGCCTCGGCTGTATGACGAATTCCGCCATTGGAACTACTTTCAAGTTCCCGGATTACCACGGCGTTGCCCATAACGACGCATTTGAAGAATGTTTCATCATACAAATATTTCAAAGTCTGAAGCTATTTTTCTTTCAAGTTTATCCGATTTTCTTCAAACAAGGACAATGAAAATTCTACACACGCTTCGAACGACGCAATTATGATATCTTCTTTTTAAAAGCGGCAAGTGTTCCTTATTGTATAGGCGTAGGTACATATCACTTATCGTCATACAGCTGAGGCTAGATGTTGAGTAACGGAATCCTCCGAGGTTGGCCGAGTTACAGCAAACGTTGGGAAGCCATTTTATTTTTACCATGGATACATTGTTCAAGGGTAAGAACTCGCGATAAAAACTTAAAAGATCATATCGTGCAATCGTGCCATCGTTAGGGTGTTTTCCGGTATTTAGTGTGGTTTCCTGTATTTAGTGTTTTTCCGGTGTTTTCCGGTATTCAGTATAACATGGTGTTTTGCGGTAGTTTTCCGGTATATAGTATTGCCGTAAATTAGTCTCCCCCTAATTATAGGGTGACCCATGCACTCTACAGAAATACAGTCCACCGCTGATAGTTCGAGACTACCACTGAAGCGTGCTCATTCGCCGTGTCGAGACCAACTTTCTGACAGTATGATACTATAAATAGCCATGGTACGTGCAATTCTCTACAAATCTATCAACTATTACAGCCGTAAAAAAATTATTGTTGACGATTTTGAATAGCAGTAAAATTAAGCTTCTTGGTTATTACAGCAGATTTAGAAATTACGCTCTTTTCATTTTTTAAATCGCTTTATCATTAACTGTACCGTTAAGAGCGGCATCTTTTGGTTTAGTACAAATAATATCTCTGAAACACTCGGGTTAGACAGGAACATGATGCTAGCAGTAGTTTCATTTTACTTTTACAAGCTTCTTAAAAAAATTGTTGAGCTAGCTAACGTGCTTATTTCTAAATTCAATTTCTTGTTCTAGCTTCCTGTTATGTTTCGTAAAAAAGTAGTCTTGATTATCCCGACCTGTCAATCAGACGTAGAATGGTCGATAGATTGGTTAAGCGAGACTAATTTCAAAACAATGGCGCGTAACCTATCTTTTACCCAAAAGTGTCTGGATGTTATGGACGACACTTGGAACCAGTTTTCAGTCTATTATTTATAGATGATTAATGGTCATAGCTTATTAAGTACAACATGATCGTTTATTTAGTGACTATACTTGTGTGAAACTGATTTGAGGCTTGGCATATATATAAATATTGTGGCGTAATTGTCGAGATATTTGGAGATATTTATTTATGGCGGGTCACCCTATTTCTGATACGATCTGTAATCATCACATTTATTCGTGGAGAACAGAGGAGTCAAGGGGGGCATGGGGGAGATAAAATCCAACCTCGACGACTAGTGTTAGGATAAATCCACCAGATTCTTCTTTTTTGGCGTGGGGTGGCGGTCGCCTACTTGTATAGTTTATATAAAAAAAAACAAGAAACAGCAGTAATATACATAATATTATATTTATATAAAATAAAATACAATAAAATGTGAATGTAAACAATTAATCTCTCTAATAGATTAAAACACTTGACAGCTAGAATTATATGATGAGTAGGTAAAAAACGCTGCTGTACGCACACCGCATGGCGTATAGCCCAGTTGGTGCCGAAAAGTAGGACGTTAAATCCCATTTTATCTCACAGACAAATAAAGAAAATGACACCCGAATTAAACACCTGGGATCACGTGGCTAAGTGGGTAAGGCGCTGGCTCGGTAGTCTGGAGGTCGGGTGTTCGATCCCTGCATTGGTCGAGAAAGTTCATCCAGATTTTCCGGCGTGGTTCTCCCTTGTCAGTGATGCAGGACGGAGGGCCTGACAAGGACAGCTGGCTAGTCATTCGTAAAAGATCCCTTGGCAGTTGGAATTCTTTATAAGAGTAAGCCGTAGCGTAGCTGCCCGGCCAAAATTTCCCTGTATGGTGTATGCACGTCTTCATTAGCCCAGTTTAGGACGTTAAACCTCATTTCATTTCATTTCATTTCCGTATTCAATCAATATATGCCTGGATGACATTGTCTATCACTGAAATTTATCTGGATGTTATTATCTACACACCTAAATCTGCAATATCGTTTAGGCGGATTCTCCATTACTGGGTAAATTGTGCGAAACTCAGATCCCCGCTCTACAAAATGTCAGTCGTATTTATTACATGAATGTGAGTTGTGACTGGGGCAGGATGAAAGACTGGCAAGGAACAGTGCCGAGTTGTTGGGATGGGATGCTAAACTGAGGTCATTTGTACATGTTGAGCTTACCGTGTAGCCCCCCACCCCTCACCCACCCTCTCCCATTAAAATGTGGGAAATTCGACGCCAGCAAATGCATTTTCCTGCTATTCGAGCCATGAATACAACAACTTCGAAGTGATATAATGTAGTTTAATTTAGGCGGCTGCCTCACCTTCCATGAGAAAATTTTGCAAATTTAATCGCCGCAAATGCGTTTTTCTGCTGTTCTGACCCGTGATTTACGCATCTTCAAAGTTGTCCAATCGTTTTACAACCGAAATTCCTCTCTATGGATACCATCTGCATTCATCGAAAATGTCGCACAAAGTAGAGTGGCTCCAGACGAAATAGTTTAATCTAGTCAATTCAGTACAAATTCGTGATATTCAATTAAAAGAAAAAGTACAATTTGTGTGTTTTTGGATTTCGGGCACTTTATTTTGCCAAGTAGATGAAATAATAATTGTTGTTTACACTTTACCCGGCTGTCCGACAAGTCAGATTGATATTTGACAAACTGGCCATGACTGTGAAGGAAAGATGGTGGCCCGATCAACAGTAACAAACATTGTGGAACTTCTTTACACCGTATGACTGCAACAAATTGGATTGAATATGAAATTATAATATTGTCAGTTTTCGAAAAGAAAATTTGCCAATAAGGTATAACCATATTTTAATATCATGTTCAATAATTGGATATACATGTAATTTAGGTGAAAAGTCTGCTTAATTGGATATAATTCTGCTGAAATTTTGACATTAGCTAAAAAAAAATAAATAAATTTATAAACAATATTTTATTGAATGGGATTAGGTACCAGACATGGACTATATTACTACCTTTCTTGATCAGTTGACTGGTATAATCGACATTTGGTGATAGTTTATACCGTCTCCTGCATTAACAATAATTTCCATCACTAATAACACGGGCGTGCTGTATCATAAGGTCTGTCATTGAGTCAACTGGCGTGGTTTCGAATTATTGAAATAAAATTGAACCACGTGTTAGTCCCGAAATGACCTACTTTGTGTTGAGTGGACGTTAAACCCCATTTCTCTCCCTCTCTCTCTTTTAATTTCAGCGACGTATCGACCAGGGTTCTTCCTGTCTTTATCAAGCATGTTATGTTGTTAGAGAAATTTCAGAGAAATGAACTGAAATGGGGGTTAACGTCCTACTGTTCTGCTCCTAACCTGGGCTAATGAAGACGGGCATACGCCATACAGTGTGCTATGCGGGACATTTTGCCCGAACAGTGGCGCTATTCAAACCTCGTGCAACTACCATCAACAGGTCGTGATACCATCAATAGCTTCGGTTATCACACATACATTACTAACACTACATTTACGACATACCCTGACAAGGCAAATAATGACAACCATACAAATTATGGAACAATGACAAACATTTATATACAATCAGGGATAATCATATAGAAACCACCCATCTTAGGCACTAAACATATAATTATGGCATGTGTTATTCTCATCCAATTACTAAATGACACTTAAAGATCTGTACCCTGCCGCCTCAAGACAATCGGTAACCACACATTCACTTTTGTCTAAACAAGTTTTAAGTTTAAAGGGGAGCTAGAGAGAGATAGAGAGAAATTGGGCTTAACGTCCACTCGACACAAACTAGGTCATTTCGGGCAAGTATATGGTTCAATTTAATTTCAATAATACAATTGCACGTATGAGGTTTTTAGAAGTGGGAAGAAACCGGAGGACCCAGAGTTGACTAAATGACAGACCTTAGGATACAACGAACGCCAACCATTAGCGCCCCCCCCCCCCCCCCATGATCGATAAGTACAAGAGATCAATCGGTAAACATGATCGATAAGTACAAGAGATCAATCGGTAAACATAAATAGGATAATGTAGATAAATGTAGTTGATCGATAAAGTTCTGATCAACAAAATTTGGTTGGATTGCAGTATAAACAAAAGAAGAAATAATCATTATATTCCATACATTTAGAATAAATTCAATAATAATTTCTATTTACATTGTAAGCCTTATAGATTGTGCAGAACCGATCTGTACGTTGCTCCTTATAACCGGAGAGGGTATTACGTTTCATACACAGTGACTATGTTACGCCGCTGAATCACTGTTTGGTGATGCCCTGAAACCGTTTTGTGAGTTACGTCTTACAAACAACCCGTCTGTTACGTCATGGAAACAACCAACTTGCTATTCGTGAGAAACAATCGATGTGCTATGTCGTAGAAGCAATCTTGTCTGTTATGTGGTAAACCTAATCGCTTGTTACGTCACAGACACGATCCGCAACCCGTCTTTTATATCATAGACTGTATTCTGCGGCTTGTTATAACTAATTTCTCTGTCGTGGAATCTAATACTTCCGTCGTCGGACTAATCTACCGGTCTTATTTGTACGTCGTTGGTTATAGAATAAATCTGGCTTGTTCCTCGGAGAACCAATCCTATCTGCCCGCTACGTCGTAGAATGAAACTGTATGGTTGTTACGACTCCCCGTCCTGTAAGCGTGATAACGGAGAATAGACTTCATATCTGCTTTATATCAGTTACACTAATTGACGTTTTACCCGGTTCATCGCCCAGATTTATTGATCATTGAATTAACGGTACATAAAAGGGAAACAATCATAATAGTGGTATGATATTTAACTGCGTGTCATAAGCCACCGATAAAAGTAAAATGTAATCAGTATGGTAATGGTCTGTTTACTAATCGTTTCATAGAGCTTCTGTTATTCTGGTTTGCTTATAATTTATTGATCATTAACTTTGTTAATTCACTATTTATTGTTTCACAAGATGTAATGACATTGCGTGGTGAACATATATATAAATAATAAAAAGTTAATTCTTTTTTTTTTTTTTTTTTTTTTTTCTTTTTTTTTCTGGGGGTGGGGCGGGGTTCCCGTGTCGTTAAAATCACTTTTATGTATTGAAACAGATATACTGGTGCATTGCAGCAATATTTGAAATTATTGAATTCAGTAGTACATTCACTAGTAATAGTGAATTATAATCCAACAGCACAAGGGAATGACTATACCATAGGTTAAAGTATTAAGGGATTTGACACTAATAATCTTTAAAGCAGACAATTTTTGCTCAATTTGAAATTAACTATTCAGCTGTATTTAAAGTATTGTGACTTTTCTACAGCAACTGGGCCAATGAAGACCGGCACAGCCCCGCAGCTAGCCCAAAAATGGTGGGGGGGGCAAGGACTTCTTGGGACGCCGATGGGGCTTCTGGGGGCGCCGATGTACATACACTTGACGACGCACGGCAGCGTCGCCGCGCATCCATTCGGAAAACGGTCTAGGGTCTCTTCCCCCAGAACATTTTGGAAAATAGGGTTTACGCCTGATTCGGATTAGGGTGCGACTTGTATGAATAATGAAGATTATCACCCCTGGTGCGGGATTGAATCAATCCCATCTCCATCGTGAATTTGGCCTGGAAAACTTCCTACAATCTCTTATGGTCGATTTCTTCGGGCGTCGGTATGCGGTATGCCAATCTCGCCGTGGGCGCCCAACCAGTGTCATTCGGCTTTATGGTGCGCCCATACTAATATGGGCACGTTGGTAGTTGGCTTCGTATTGCGATCAATGGAAAGGGCGCCTACTGGAGACGCCGATTTTTTTTAGGGGGGCGGGAAAAGGTTGCCCCCGCTAGCTACTGGCCTGCCAGCATATGACATACATTGTTCCAGGAGAAAGTTTGCTCTGGGAGCACGCCAATGTGTCCACGGGTCCATTTGAATGAGATATTGATACTAACCCGGCAGTTCCAGACCGCAGGGAAATGCAGCTCGATCAGGGCTCAAGGCTTATATCGGGAGAGTCCAACCTCGTGGGTTGTCTCCAGGTCCTCCCCCTGCTTAAGACCCCTACGCGCAAGCGAAATATTGAAATAAAATTAAACTATATGTTAGTCCCGAAATGACCTAGTTTGTGTCGAGATAGGGCCAATAACGGGTCTTCTGAAAAGCTTTGTGTTTCATATGATTTAGATGTTGTATATGTGTATTAAATAACGCCCTAAAATAGATGGTATCTATAAACAGTCCTAGCTTTTTAAAGAATAATACTATTAATCCTTATAATTCACTATTGCCAGTTGAGACATTGGCAAAAATATCATTTTTAACTTCAAATTCAAACGTTTGAAGATAGCTACTCCCTGTTGGGGAATAGAAAACAAGGGAGGTAATTGTGGTATTATTTCCGGTGTTATGATTTTTAAGTGTGAGAATGACACCTATGATCGTATAAAAGTGAGTTGACAACCTATTGAGCAAAAGACATAGAAATAATTATGTTTTGACTTTCTTAGAAAATATGTAATTGTAACTTTAAACACCGACATTGATTGGTTAATCGAATGGCTGACGTTATGTTGTCAAAAGCCGTTTGTGTGACCCATGACGCGATCCCCACTGCTATCGGTCAGAACGTTAATGCAAAACACATTGTTAATGGTCTATTGTAGTTCAGTTTAGCAGATGTTAAGTCAGGATTTTCACAAAACTGTTTCATTAAATTTAATTTGTTTTAAATTGGTCCACGGATCAAGCTGGTATGTAATCTTCTTCAGATACAGTCGTTTATAAAACTGTGTATCAATAGCTTGTGGGGAAAGTGTTTGGTTGTGCAACCACTCGGATAAACATTGTATTGCCGTGTAACTGTACTCCAGTTCAAATTTATTAGCAAATAATTCTGCTCGATTTACAAGCATCTTCAAATCTCTGGCACTAAAAACACAAATATGTCTCAACCATTTTCCATGACATTCATCGGGAGTTTTGGTAATGGCCCAAGATACATACGTTGACAGCTCGGTAACATTAAAGCATGCTTCTGGAATGTAAAACAAATACGCGTTAAACGAATTTCCCAAAATTAAGCACAATGAAAAGTTAAATGATTTAGAGGCGATCTCATTTACGACCTAAGAGAATTAGACTGTCGGTATAAGGTATTGGGTGTAGGAAAAGATTTTTCAGGGCGGTGTGGTCCAGAGATAAAATCAAGATTAAGGCACCGGATGTTATTTTGATTTTGTCAATTCGACTTGGCTATATTTGGTCAGAGGATAGGTTTATTCATATCCCCCGTTGTTGCAGAGATAATATCAAGATAAGGAACTGGGTGACATCTTATTAACTTTTCAAAGCGGCGTGGTCTAGGGATAGAATCAAGACAAGATACATGCACAAATCTCGTAATAATTATCAGCACACCCGTTCGTGAACAGCACTGATATCTCTATGCTCTTTAAAAAGGATTTGCTTGCTATTAATTCATCACAGTCGTCGCAAACATTTAGATGTCCCTTTTAAGTAATTATTAAAATTCGTTGACCGATGGATCATGTTTTATTAATAAATACTCGATCCGTCATTTGGCGCTGTAGAAATTCCCTAAACTACAATAAAGTAAACGTTTAACATTTAATGGGAATAGAGGTCCAAATATGCTTTAATTCCGTTCAGTATCTACGAAGTTATGATAAATTGGAATTCCATCGACGCTGCCTCGTTTATTGGTAGCGGATAAAACTAATGGGCCGTTGAAATCGGATTGAATGCAAGCCGGTAGATTATCTAATGTTGGTATTTTGATTTTGTGTTCTAAAATAAATATTAAATAATCAGTTTGAGTATATATTTAGCGTGTATTAAGTCTAAGAACATTGCTATTTTAGCGAAATTGCAATTGACGCATCGGGCCTTTACGGCCTGTAATAAATAATGCCCTTACCTTGCCCACTTCCAGGAACTTGTACATGATGATTAAAATTTAACATGGACCAGTAATACTCATCAGGCGAGAGAATTCCTCTACACCAATCTAACACATCTTTAGCGATTTGACTTGTGAGGACATATTCCACGAACTGGTGGGTTAAAAGAACATATGCAGTACCTTTAGCCGTCAGAAAATGGTGAGGCGGAAGCTTATATTTTATGTGTGTATTGACAATTTTGTAAGTTCCATTTTTTTCATATATATACTCATATCTATGAAGGAACCTTTTCATTATAATCCCAATTCCTCGTCGACAACCAACTTGATTTGTGTTGTTGAGCAGTTTCAATATTCTAACAATCTGTAAATTAGTCTTTAACGGTAATTCCTGACTAGGAAGATTTATTAAATATTTCCAGTCTGGTTTAGCTAAATGATCTGCCATACAGTTTAAATCGGCTTGCAGTCTCTGAAAACTTTGATAAACTACGTTCTCTGTTTTTGAAACTATGAAGACATTATCAAAACAATCAGATAATGCTTTAGCTGCCTTGTGAACATGATCTGGTGAAAAGCCATCTACATGTAAACAATAGTAATTTTGTGGTCTATAAATAGCACGAAGAAGTATTTCAACTTGAGCTACGTCCTTATATAAAAGTATATTAAAAGCGATGGGGAATTGTTTTTCTTCTTCTGTATTTACAATATTGTTATAACCATAGACTTGCTTAAAAATATCACAATTTTCTGTGTGCTTTATCAATGTTTGATAACTGGGAATATTGCGAGGCTGTTTTCTAGCCTCAGTTATTGCAGATTCGTCACCCTTTAAAACATTGGCACAATTGATATTTTTAATTTTGAAAGAGTTGAATTCTAATTCAGTCGATGTAACCTGTTGCTGTGGTTCGCCCAGTGCATTTTGCATTTCTTCATACTGGAGCGATTTACGTGTGGAAAAGATTTGATTCTTGTGCACTGCGGAAGGATGCTTATTAAATGTCACTCTTTTTTCTATATCATTATTGACGAATAGTTGCCAACTATTTATAGCGTATAGAACAGTAGCTAGTGATACAACGGCGACAATTAATCGGGTTTTCTTGAACATCTTGTCCTTCTCTGCAAAAGTAAAGAAACAAAATGCTATTATATATGAACCGTCTAAATAAAGGTGATTATAAAATGTGCACCTATCACTTGTTAGCTTACGGTAATTCTCATTTGGTAAGGTGTCGTACATGAGTGTAAATACTATCTGATATCACATTGTGGAACACCTGGGCGAGTGACCTTGGTGGATGGCATTGATCCCAAGTAATTATATGAAGTGTTTGATGGATGCTGCACTTTTCGTTTAAATGCCAATGTCAATTGTGCCTGTCATTGAGTCAACTGGCGTGGTTTCGAATCCTCGGGTGTACGTGACAAGGAGTAGGGGGTTTTCTCCGGGTCCTCCGGTTTCCTCCCACTGCTAAAGACCCCTATGCGCAAGCGAATTATTGTTAGTCCCGAAATGACCTAGTTTGTGTCGAGTGGACGTTAAACCCCATTTTTCTCTCTTTCTCTCTCTCTCTCGCATTATTTCATAATAATCTGTCAGATCAAATGAGTAAAATGTGAAATAATATAATGGTAGGTGTGTACATGACTGTTAAATTAAGCTACCATTGTTCACGTGTAACACGCGTATTTATTAAATCAGTTAGTACGATATCACGTCAATATCTCCTCATATCATTTCTAAGTTCAATGTATTAAGGTATACTATTCGCATGGCGTTCATGAGTTAACGGGATTCGCGGTTTCATCTTATATGGCCGAGTTCTTAAATTTGTGCGTTACCCTTTCAATGATGTCCGCCAAGTCAGTTAGAAGACGGAGACGTATTTTTTTTAACAGCGAGTTATGTCGCTCATATTGACTCTAGCCAGGTAAGCAAAGTGTTATTTTCTCACTAAGATGTTCATTTATATTGTTCAGGCGTTCACAGGGACTGACACGCGACCGTTTAGCAGTAAAAAGTTGCCCAGTATAATTGACTGGGAAGCGATTAGATTTTCGACAAGGATCCAATAGGACAGTCCCTGAACGTAGAGGTCGAGTGTAAATGAGACCTACGTTCAGAGCTGAACTAGACATGCGGCAACTACACGGTAAAATCCTGAATAAGTATCTCGACCAACATCATCCCCATTTATTTGTTTTATCAGTTGTTATGTGTAATTATATAAAATAAATAAAACTATTACCTTACAGTTGGGGTGGCGATAAAATCCTTCGTATTTCTTAACATGTATCACCGCGAGAAAAGTGAAAATTAATTTATCCACGAATATTTAGATGACAGATGTTGACAAAATGCCGTGTAAATCAATGTCCGCTACAATATGGCGCACGATTTCAACAATTAAAGTATTCAATGCTCGCCCGATTACATGAAATCTGGACAACAAATCCTTTAAGGGAAGCGAGGGTTAGGTCTTTTTGATAAGGCCAACTTCAAGTTTGGTCAAAGGTCACGAGATGTAAACAGGGCTAGAGCTAATCTCAACCCTAACCCTTAACCTAACCCACAATCTCGCCAACAAACTTATTTACATCTGAACGAGCTTGACGAAAATTGAGCTGGCCAAAAAAATCGATTTAGCTAATGTGACGCGATACCTGGCCAGGTTTCACCTGCGTGGGGTAATGCCGTCTTGTACGCAATTAGAAACGTCGCTCTTAAAATGTAAATCGAATTACCGTAAAAAAAATCTTTTCAGTAATTATTTTGATTACCTATGCTTAGCTATATTTGGTAGAATTACTTATATCAGTTTAAGATATCATGCTATGTATTGAAAATTGTGCACTTGAAAGCTATGTTTACTTGCACAAAGCCTCGTAGAAATTAGATTAACTCTGCGTTCCACCATTACCGCTGAGAGACTGTTGTTGTTGTTGTTCTTAGTTTTTAACGTCCGCTTCCACCGAAGGTGATATCGCAGACAAATCTTATTTTTTTCATTTTCATTATCTTAGCGCACGCGCCTTTTCTGTAGAAGGAAATTGGAGTACCCGGAGTAAACCCACGGGGTTGAGAAGGCGCCCCTATCTCCAAGCCACATACGCTCACACCAGGGATGGAAACCACAACCGCAAAGTGATATCGCAGACAAATCGTATTTTTTTATTTTCATTATCTGAGCACACGCCCCTTTTCTGTGGAAGGAAACCGGAGTACTCGGAGTAAACCCACGATGTTGAGAAGGCGCCACTATTTCCAAGCCACATACGCTCACACCAGGAAACCACAACTGCAAAGTGATATCACAGACAAATCGTATTTTTTTATTTTCATTATCTGAGCACACGCGCCTTTTCTGTGGAAGGAAACCGGAGTACTCGGAGTAAACCCACGATGTTGAGAAGGCGCCACTATCTCCAAGCCACATACGCTCACACCAGGGATCGAAACCACAACCGTAAGTCAGACCAGCTAGAGGTCGTACGCGGCACTCTAGACCCCCCCCCCCCGTTGAGTAACTAAACAATTTGGCATGTTGAGTACTGAAGGTGACTTTTCTCAGAAATGGAATTTTCCAAATATCTTTGATTCTTTTAGTGTACAAACGACACATAAACAAATGATTTGATTGAAGTCAACTGATATTTGGTATACATATTTAAAGGTGCCAAATCGCTAATATTTGGGACCAAGAAATTGACCCAAATGGGTCGCAACGCATATAATAATGTAATCTGATTGTATAAATTGACCCAAATGGGTCGCAACGCATATAGTAATGTAATCTGATTGTATATAAACTGATTTACATTCAAATGATTCCGTTTTGACTCTAATTTCAAATCAGTTACGTCCACCGAGTCTCAACCGAATGGCAATTTCTAGCGTCTGGTTATTCCAGTATATTGCGCATGCTCTCCAGATAAGATATGGCATGACACATGAGATGTGAAATATGTCTAGCCTCGTTCTTTCTGGTCACTTGTTACAAATGACGCTGAAACGCACCATGGTACACGATTCGTGTACCAATGGTAAAATGATTATTTTGTCTAAAATATTGGATATCAAAAGCCTACCTTTTCCCGATAAGATCACAACATCAATGTTGATTTAAATTGACAAATAATGTGTGTTTTGAATGGCGAAGACTTTGGGTGACTTTTCTCAGAAATGGAATTTTCCAAATATCTTTGATTCTTTTAGTGTACAAACGACACATAAACAAATGATTTGATTGAAGTCAACTGATATTTGGTATACATATTTAAAGGTGCCAAATCGCTCATATTTGGGACCAAGAAATTGACCCAAATGGGTCGCAACGCATATAATAAAACTAATCTATTATTATCGACTTAAATTACTAAAATTTGGATTTTATCTAAAAATTTCGTGACTGGGCTAATGAAAACGAGCATACCCCATACATGTCGAATTCCAACGGCCAAGTGATCGTCTACGTGTAAGCCAATGTGTTCGGGATCTCCTCCTATCGGAACGACTATACGTTGACAAGAAGGGGAGGCAGGGGGCGAGGCAGGGGGGCGGGGCGGGGCGGGGCGGGGGGGGGGGGGGCACGCCGGAAAACCTCGATAAACTTTCTTGGCCAACGCAGGGATCGAACACGGGACTTCCAGGTTAGAAAGTCAACATCGTACTCCCTGAACCACCGTGGCTCCCGTTTCGATACCATGAAATCTAACGCAGGTCAACTCCCGTTGATATATACTCTTCAAAAATAGTAGGGGATATTGAAATGCAAATACCTATGCAGGTTGTGATATGATAAATAGTCATGGACACTTGACATGCTTTGAGAGTATGTTCACAGATGAAGAACTTATCGCCCCAACAGAACCACTGAGCTAGCTGCACATGCGACACGCAATAGTGCTATACACGTCGGAGAGTTTCATTGTCAAATTTGACACTTAAAGGAAGGGTTGATGAAAACTGCCGCGTGCTGGTTTATCTATCCATGTTCGCTTTCCTATCGGTTCTTACGTAAGATTTAATGTTTAGCGCATCTTTGCTTTAGTGTGTTACGTATAATTTGATCGGGAGACGTGTTCGTCGACGTCAACGTCAACCGACAATACTGCAAGAATTGGCCGTGGAACTGCAAGAGGAGTGGGTCAGATTGCCCCAAATCGTGATTGGACGGTTGATTAGGAGCATGCCACGACGAATTGCTGAATGTCTGAGGATTGGTGGAGCAATTACTCATTATTAAGACAAAAATCAAAAACGTCCATTTTCACATTTGACAGTGTATCGCGAGTAAAATGGGGCCGTCAGATAAGCCGCCCATTTGAACTGTTTATTTTCATGTGTAGGCAATTGTCCTGTTATTGACATACACTGGTTACCTCTATTAAAACAACAGTGCATTTCCGCAGTTTTGTATTGTTTCTGAATATCCCCTACTTTTTTTTAAAGAGTATATAATAAAGCCACGTGGAAATAATAAAAATAGAATATGCTTAAAATTTCAGTGAAAATTGCTTTACTCTGAACCGAGAAATTAGCGATCCAACTTTAAGCTAGCAGCTCGATCGTTATTACTAACGTTGGTACTATAACCAAACAAAGTCTCGATTATCCATTATTAAGTTAAATTATCCATCAAAAAATGTATTCAGATCCACTAAATATCATAGGCTAGCGATGCCATCTAAAGTTGATTATCTCCATTTAACTGTACAATTGATTAAAATCAATTTGTTTATAATACAACGGGGAAAGGTCCATTTTGGTCTGGCAGTGCGTCAAAGGGCCCAACGTGCACACTTTCGTCTGATTAAACGTTTTAGCTTCAAGTTCAGATTGTCACAAAATTGTTTCATTATATTTCATTGGTTTTAAATTGGTCCACAGATCAAGCTCGTATGTTATCTTTTTCTGATACAATCGCTTATAAAACTGTGCATCAATAGGTTGTGGGGAAAGTGTCTGGTTGTGTAACCATTCAGATAAACATTGAATGGCTGCGTAACTGTACTCCAGTTCAAATTTATTAGCAAATAATTCGGTTCGATTCAGAAGCATCTTTAAATCTCCTCCACTGAACACACATATATTTCTCATCCATTTCCCACGACATTTATCAGGTGTTTTACTAATGGACCAGGATGCATAAGTTGACAGTGCAGTGACATGTAAACACGCTTCTAAAATGTAAAGTAAATGCATTTGTTTTCACAAAATATTCGCTCAATGCTCAGATACAATAATTTACCTAGAATCCAGATGTTTTATATTTTCAACAGCATTTTCTTCGGGTGACGTCACAATTTGTAAATTTGGCCACACACGCGCATGAACTTGATCTGATACTTTATTCGATTAGTAGCTGAGGAATCACTGTACCGTCCCATTGGGTAAAGCGGGGGATCGCCTGTCCAACCTCGCGAGTTGTCGCCTGGTGCTCTAGTTTCCTCCCACCCAAAAAAAATTATTGAATTAATATTGGTCCATGTCATCCCCGAAGGGGCGGGGGAAATAGCAACCTTAAAACATTATTAGTAGCTATGGGCGATATAACCTGCTGAGATATAAGCGTGATTTAGTCATCTTGTGCTTGTTACGCGTAATCCTAAATTATCCAATCTTAAGCGTTCCCTAAAAGCTAAACGGCAAATATAATAAGAAAATTAGACGCATCTTGTGTCTACGAATTAAGCTTTCATGTTATATTCATTATCTAAACAATTTTAATGGATCGGGGCCTTTACGACCTGTAATAAATAATGCCCTTACCTTGTCCACTTCCAGGAACTTGTACATGGTGATTAAAATTTAACATGGACCAGTAATACTCATCAGGCGAGAGAATTCCTCTACACCAATCTAACACATCTTTAGCGATTTGACTTGTGATGACATATTTCACGAACTGGTGGGTGAAGAGACCGTATGCACTGCCTTTAGCCACTACAAAACGATGAGGCGGAAGCTTATATTTTATGTGTGTATTGACAATCTTGTAAGTTCCATTTTTTTCATATATATACTCATATCTATGGACGAACCTTCTCATTATAAGGCCAATTCCTCGTCTACAACCAACTTGATTTGTGTTGTTAAGCAGTTTCAATATTCTGACAATCTGTAAATTAGTCTTTATCGGTAATTCCTGACTAGGAAGATTAATTAAATATTTCCAGTCTGGTTTAACTAAATGATCTGCCATACAGTTTAAATCGGCTTGCAATCTCTGAAAACTTTCATAAACTATATTTTCTATTTTCGAAACTATGAAGACATTATCAAAACAGTCAACTAATGCTTTAGCTGCCTTGTGGACATGATCTGGTGAAAATCCATCTACATGTAAACAATAGTAATTTTGTGGTCTATAAATAGCACGTAGGAGTATTTCAACCTGAGCAACGTCTTTATATAAAAGTATATTAAAAGCGATGGGGAATTGTTTTTCTTCTTCTGTATTTAAAATGTTGTTATAACCATACACTTGTTTGTAAAGGTCACACTTGTGTGTGTGGTCAATCAATGTCTGATCATTGGGGATATTATAGATCTGTTTTCGGGCCTCATTTATTTCAGATTCGTCACCCTGTAAAACTTTGGCACAATTGATATTTTCAATTTTGAAAGAGTTTAATTCTAATTCAGTAGTTGTGACCTGTTGCTTTGGTTTCATTAGGGAGGGAGAATTGGACTTGTCTTGTGTAGGAGGAAATTCAGTCGCTGCACGCTGCTGCTTCGATGCAATTGTGGAGCGAGTGGTTATACGGTATTGGGTAGCAGTAAATTTGTCTTCATGCTGCATAGATTCACGTGGGGAAGATATTTGGTTCTTGGACATACCGGAAGGGCGCTTATTTAATGTCACTCTTGTTTCTTCGTGTCTCTTGACGAATAGTTGTCGACTATTTAAAACATATAGAACAATAACTAGTGCGATAATGGTGACAATTAACCGGGTTTTCATGAACATCGTGTCTTCCTCTACAATATATAATACAACAGTACAACATAAATAATTAGTTATGTTTAGTGTATGCCCGGGACAAATCCAGATTTAATCGATGAAAAAACGTCTACAACTTTTAAGACCGGAAACATTATCGGAATATGTCGATTGCGCGTATCATTATTTTACAATTCGCCAACTCTTGATTAATGTATACAACACAAAATCCAACCTATGAGCGAAACTAATAAATGCCCAAGGCAAATACTGGGCCCATAAAGCATTATGATAGCACATCATCGTGTCCTGTAAAGCGATGTACAAACAATTCGATCGGATTCGAACGAACCGTCCTCATAAATGTAACCATCCTAATATATGTATCATATGCAAACGAACCGTCCTAATAAATGTAGCCTAGGTGAACTACGCATCCTTATAAATGTAACCAATGTGAACGTACCGCCATGATAAACGTAACCACTCTAATACAGGTAACCTATGTGAACGAACCAGCCTAATTAGTGTGAAATTGTATCACCACTTCCATCACTATCGACATTGTGCAAGCCTGGCGTGAACGTATAAGAAACCTTAGAATTCAAAGTAGGCATAAATGCGGTGGTCCATGCATAATGTCCCCCATGGCACAGTGTTTGGCGTATGTCCGTCCGTCGTCATTAGGCCGTTTGGTGCAGAACAACAGGATGTTGTTAAACCCTTCCTTCTCAAAGTACACATTTAAAATAACATTAATAACCTAATTTGGCATGACATTAAAGGCATAAGGTGAATTACTCTTTTCATTTATTCTTAAACATGCAAACTGAACCTTTGTGCTGGAATATTAACCTTGCTGGACATTTAAATGTAACTATTTTCTATTGTTCGGAAAGCTAATGAATATCGCCTAGTTTGAGTACAAGAAACAACTTACTGTCTTTAAAACTCGATAGTGTTTGAAAACATTTTAATCCACATTTGTTCTATTAATGATAAAATAATGACTCGAAATGTCTGACAGCAGGGTGGTTTAAAATTAATCCACGAGAAAAGGAAATCAATTTGTGTATATTAGAATAAATTAACGACAGATGGTGATTATATGTAATGTTAATCAATGAGGGTTTTTCTCTCGAATAATGCGACGTGTATGTCGAAGCCAGGGTGTCTGACCAAAAATGAAATGAAATGGGGTTTAACGTCCTACTGTTCTGTTCCTACTGGGCTAAAGAAGACGGGCATACCCCATACAGTGTGCTATGAGGGAAATTTTGCCCTGACAGCGGCACTACGACCTACTCTTATACCGAATTCCAATTGTCAAGGGATCTTTTACGTGCACGCCTGTGTGTACACGGGACCTCAGTTTTTTTTTCTTTCCATCCGAACGACTAGACAGCTGGCCTTGTCGGGCCCTCCGTCCTGCATCACTGACAAGGTAGAACCACGCCGGAAAATCTGGATGAACTTTGTCGGCCAATGCAGGGATCGAACACCGCCTTACCCACTTAGCCACCGTGCCCCCTCCATTCCGGTTGAAAGGTAGGACTCTTGAAAGGTAGGACTCTAAACATCATTACATTGATCAGTTTCGTTCGATATTATACCTTAATTGACCACACTGCCCGGTTAGCGCAGAAAGGCAGGACAGCCATTTCATTCCACTTATCAGCTTTTCTTTCCACCAAAATCAATCGTTTACCGTATTGATCACACCATATGCTGTAATGTTTATGCAGACTTGGGCGACATCTGTCTCCAGTAAAACAGAATAATGGACCACAAACTTCAGTAAATTAATAGGATATTATCAGTTATTACTAGGTAAAGTTATTTATTTTGTTACAGTCTTGTTTCGTTTATTTATCCTGGAATGTAACCAGAGGGAATGACAAAGGGCAGCGTATATTTTCACTGACGCCGATGTACGGGCACTGAATTGAGCAAGCAACCAGTTGCCGAAGTGTCCATGTACGCTGAACTGCAACCGATCTGTTGCGTTACTTCTAGTTGGTATCATCAATTTTGATGACTAACACATTGTCTTGTTCAAATTTAAAGATATCTCTGATTTAGAAAATCTAAAGGGAAACTACAATTATGCGTCTTAAGGTGAGGTGGGGTGGGGCGGGGGACTTATGGTTTACTCACACAACATCTGGTTTGGGGACTAACAAGGCTGAACTGCGCGTCAAATCGGGGAAGTTTCGACTGACAATCGAGTATCCTCTTACTTTCATGAAGGAGCCCCCATGATGGATGGCAAAATGGTTAACGCATGCCCGTTGCGTCACTGAGTCAAGCGTCGTGGCTAACGCGTGCGTGTTGCTCCATTAGGTCTGTCACTGAGTCAAGTGCCTGTCCAACCGTGTGGGTTTCTCCGGGTCTTTCAGTTTCCTACCACTGCTAAAGAGGTCTACGCGCAAGCGAGCGAATAAATGAAATAAAATTGAACCTTATGTTAGTCTCGAAATGAACAAGTTTGTGTCAAATGGACGTTATACTCCATTTCTCTCTCATAAACGAGCTAAAATATATTTTATTTTATGCAGGTGGAAGTCTACTTAAGTGTTTACAAAGATAATCAGAAGAAGTAGTAACATTGTTAAATGATAACCAAACAAACAGGATGAGACGCAAGTTGCAATTGACTGTTATGTTGCTGTTACTGTTCTTGTACATAGTTCGTTATTTTATCCCTCATAAAAGAACAAGGGAGGCTCCTGCATCAATAACGTTGGGTCGTGTGCATTCTGACGCGAGAGACAGTTTATCAGCACCAGTCATAAAATCAGTTTCAAGTCAAGCAAATGATTTGGAAACTAATGGTAATGAGAACAGAGGAAAAGATAAGCTAATATACAATAAAACAGTAAAACAGAACTTGGATTTAATAACAGTTCAACGTGAATTTGAATCTTTTAGAATCCCCGATATCAACTGTGAAGGAATAATAAAAGGTGACGCCGAAGCATTAGCAGAATCTGTCCAAAAAAACGCCAGCGTTGTTCCTGATAATTACACGTTAATGAAACACACTACAAATTGTGATTACTTTAGGAGACTATATGGTTATGAAGCGATTATAAATACTGACGAAGAAATCAATTTTCCTCTCGCTTTTAATATACTTTTATATAAAGAAGTAGCTCAGGTTGAAATACTTCTTCGTGCTATTTATAGACCACAAAATTACTATTGTTTACATGTAGATGGGTTTTCACCAGACCATGTTCACAGGGCAGCTAAATCATTAGCTGATTGTTTTCATAATGTCTTCATAGTTTCAAAAACAGAGAACGTAGTTTATAAAAGTTTTCAGAGATTGCAAGCCGATTTAAATTGTATGGCAGATCATTTAGCTAAACCAGACTGGAAATATTTAATTAATCTTCCCAGTCAGGAATTACCGATAAAGACTAATTTACAGATTGTTAGAATATTGACAGCAATAAACGACAGGAATTCTATAGAGTGTATCACCAACTTAAAACATATGCTTTCTGATCGTTTTGTTCATAAATATAAAAATAAATACTATGCTGACGGAGTGCATTATATCGTTGTTATGACTAAGGATAAAAACCCCCCTTTACCTCATGGCATGAAGCTCATTAAAGGGAGTGCTTATGGTGTTTTTACGCATCGATTCGTAAGTTATGTCTTCAACAATCAAGTAGCTAAAGATTTGTTAGAGTGGTGTCGTGGAGTTCTCTCCCCTGATGAATATTACTGGTCAACATTGAATCATAATCCACATTTACAAGTTCCTGGTAGTTATGAAGGTAATATACAAGTAGTTAATATAATATTTTTATACGCCCACATTTTCATGTGGACGTATATTGTCGTCGCCCCTGTCCGTCCATCCGGACGTCCGTCCACAATTGTTTGTGAACAGTCTACAGGTCACAATTTTTATCTGATTTCAATGAAACTTGAAATATAGGTTTATCACCCTAAGATCTCGGTTCCTTTCGATATTGGCATCTATCGGACCGTAACTTCATGGATTATGGCCCCTGATTGCACGAAAAATCACGTTTTTGGCTTGTGAACACTGTAGAGGTCACAATTTTTATCCGATTTTGTTGAAACTTGAAATGTAAGTTTATAACCCAAAGATCGCGGTTCCTTTCGATATTCGCGCATATCGGACCGTAACTTCCTGAGTTATGGCCCCTGATTGTACGTAAAACGCGTTTTTTGGCTTGTGGACCCTATAGAGGTCATAATTTTTATCCGATTTAAAAAACCGTATTATTATATCACCGTTAAACCCTAAGGACGGTCGAGTTCGAATTTCGTGAAAATCGGCCCAAAACTGACAGACAAAATGGCCGCCCTTCGTTCTCAAATAGCGTAAAAATATGGTATATCAAGGTTGTGGACCCTATAGAGGTCACAATTTTTATCCCATTTTGTTGAAACTTGAAATGTAAGTTTATAACACAAAGATCTCGGTTCCTTTCAATATTCGCGCATATCGGACCGTAACTTCATGAATTATGGCCACTGATTGTACGCAAAAACGCGTTTTTTGGCTTGTGGACCTTATAGAGGTCATAATTTTTATCCGATTTAAAAAAACGTGTTAATACATCACCGTTACACCCTAAAGACGGCTGAGTTTTAATTTCGTGAAAATCGGCCCAAAACTGACTGACAAAATGGCCGCCCTTCGTTCTCAAATAGCGTAAAAATATGGTATATCAAGGTTGTGGACCCTATAGAGGTCACAATTTTTATCCGATTTTGTTGAAACTTGAAATTTTAGTTTATAACACAAAGATCTCGGTTCCTGTCGATATTCGCGCACATCGGACCGTAACTTCAGGAATTATGGCCCCTTATTGTATGACAAATCATACCATAGCGTAAAAATATGGTATATCAAGGTTGTGGACCCTATAGAGGTCACAATTTTTATCCGATTTTGTTGAAACTTGAACTGTTAGTTTATAACACAAAGATCTCGGTTCCTTTCGATATTCGCGCACATCGGACCGTAACTTCATGAATTATGGCCCCTTATTGTAGGAAAAATCACTTTCGTTTAGCTTGTTTTCTATCCATCTCTCGAAAATGTGGGCGTATACTGCCTGGCAGCCGCTGGTTAAATGATGTATCCATGACATGTAGATTTCACGCTAAGGGATTATTATGGTTTTTATATAGCTTATAAGTTTTCCTGGTAGTTATAAAGGTTAACATCATTTTTACAAGCTCCAAGTTGATTTTATTGATATATCTCGATGGGGCGAAGGGTTAGCGCGTGTACATTGTATCATAAGGTCTGTCATTCAGTCAACTGGCGTGGTTTCGATTCCCCGGTTGTACGTGACAAGGAGTAGGGTTGCCTGTAATAGCAACCTTTTGGGTTTCTCCGGGTCCTCTGGCTTCCAACCACTGCTAAAGACCCCTACGCAAAAGCGAATTATTGAAATCAAATTGAACCATATGTTAGTCCCGAAATGCCCTAGTTTGTGTCGAGTGAACGTTAAACCCCATCTCTCTCTCATTATGTTGTGCGCAAATTAATTATTTGAAATTTACTTTAATTTATATAATAAACAGCAAAAATAAAACGACAGTACGATTTCAAAATCAGAGAGGCACTTTAATCAAATCATTCTAGAAAACGACTAAATAAAAGGATCAAAAGAATTTTTTGGTGAACAGTATGTTGACACATTAGTGATTAATTCATCACAATGCCAAGACATTACGCGAAGGTTTAGAGTCTGTACCACAATCTATACATCAGTATCATAACAGCAGCGCAGTGTTTCTGTACATTGGAGAGGACCAGACGATTGATGAACGCCATTGGCACCCGGAACCACACTCTCAGAAACGCCTGGCGCAGTTCATCGACTGTGTGTGGTCTCGATACGACGTTATTAAGTCTCCTCTGAAATTCATGCCAACGATTTTCAATAGGGGCTGATCAGTGCATAGCGTTTACTTCCGTTCTGCTATAGAAAGTCCCAAGTAACTTTGGCGGTGTGGGCACGTGCGTTGTCAGGCTGGAAAACGTTGTTTTGATGAAGTGCGAGATGTAGTATGACGTGAGGTCTACAGAACATGAATACTGGTGGTAATATAATTTGATCGGTTTAAAACTGGAGTAATGAGCAGAACTTAGAGCTTCAGTGGAGTGTTTTGGGTGGTTAAGCACGTGTGCGTGAAACTATAAGGTCTCTCATTGAGTCAAGTGGCGTGGTTTCAATTTTCCGCTTGTGCGTGACAAGGAATAGGTTCGCCTCTCAGTCTCGTGGGTTTCCTCCGGATTCCCCCCCCCCATTGCCAAAGACCCCTACGCGCAAGCGATTAGTTGAAATAAAAACTCAACCATTTGTTTGTGTCGAGTTGACCACCCCTCTCTCTCCCTCTCTCTCTCTCTCTCTCTGTATGAACGACTTCCTACATAAAGAAAAGGTGAAACCTGGCTGTGGATGTTTGTTATCTTTGGTGGTGGGTTATAGTGATCAAATACTGCTGGTTCATGGAAACTGGGTTGTTTGCATTGTTGTTAAAGTTTTGTTTTTCAATAAGATAACAGATAGTGTTCATTCTATTACAGGTCCATGTAAAGGTGTGCTATCAACGTACGTAAATTGGCAGGTAACATCTAATCACGCCAAATGTAAAGGCAAAGTCCTGAGATTTATTTGTATTTTTGGGCCAGGGGATTTAAAGACAATTGTTACTAGGGAGGAATTATTTGCTAATAAATTTTTATTAGCCTATAGTTACACAGCTATACAGTGCTTATCAGAATGGTTGCGTAATCAAACATTTTCCCCACAAAGAATTGATGAGCAGTTTTATGAATCTACATTTTAATGTGAAATTGGTCCGGGAACATTACGAGAACTATTTATTAAGAGATATAAACTATAGCATATATGATTGTATAGTGTGGTGTCTTTAGTTTTATGAGATAAAGAATGTCCTAATCGAGGGTTGATATATATGTGAAATACCCCTTGGCCCTGCGAATGATATCACAAAATTACATGTTAGTAACCACGTGTTCACAAAGAGAGCGAGAGATAGAGAGATATAAATAAATGGGGTTTAACGTCCATTCAACTTAAACTAGGTCATATGGTTTACTTTTTTTTTTATTTCAATAATTCGCTTGCGCGTAGAGGTCTTAAGCAGTGGGGGGAAACCGGAGGACCCGGAGAAAAAGCCACGAGGCTGGACAGGCGACTCTACTCCTTGTCACGTACAACCGGGGGATCGAAACCCCGCCAGTTGACTCAATGACAGACCGTATGATACAGCGCGCGCGTGCTAACCATTCGGCCATCCAACCCCCCGCATTATTTAAGAATTAGATAAAAAAAATCCAAAAACAATCTGGTCATTCTTGTTATAAGAGTTCAAATCTAGTTAATGCACGTTGGATGTATTGAAAATTTCAATCTAATTACTTTATTCTGAGCGAAGTTAACACTGTTGTTAGTTTTGACAAGACGTGTGCATCTCTTGTTTATTATCGTAACCACGGTACTGGTATATTCCGAGTCGCAGCCCTGCTTCTCCAGTTGTTAAATTAAATCATTAAATTCCCTAACTGTTCTATCTAGTTAAAAGCTCGGGCATCCAATTGCCTCGAGAGTTAATTGTGGTTGTGTCATGTTAATAAATGTCTCCAGAAAATATTTACAAACGTTTGTAAAGTTTTAGACAAACGTATTTTATTTGTTTTGAAAACTTTGAGTGTAAAATAACTTAATTGTATCAAATGTTTAAATCTTGTCTTTAGTTGTCTCAAAATCACCGAAATTTAAAGGTACTGTCCCGTGTTTAACAGAGTCTCGGAAAATACGTCTGTATACGTACGAATTTTACGCACCGAAATATAAAGGAATGATGTATTTCAGCTCACGATATTGAGTAGTTTGGACCTGAACGTCCAAACCGCTTATCCGGACACGTATCCATTTGAAGATTTCAGCCCTCAGGCAGAGGATTTTAAGGGCCTTAAACACACACTTAAGCAGTTTTATTCTCCAAAATATAATCGGAATTGGCCCTTTAAGTTGACGTGATGTCGGGCTTCTTTTTCATGTTCTGTATTTTTTTTTAACCTTCGAATAAAATGAACTTAGTCATCAGGTTAACTGCACCAAAATAGATGATGCAAATATTAAATCTTCTCGGATAGTTACTCAACATGTAATTTTATTTTCTAACACTATTTATTCAATAAATATTTAAATATTATAAAGTGCAATATAGAATTATAGCATTTGAAAACAAACAGGAGCTTATAATAAATTCATCTCCCGTAAGACATTATTTACAGAGATATAAGTACATTGTTTAACTATGTTACTCGTCATGTAATTCCGTCTAATCTCTGTTTACCTGCACGATTGGAATGCATGTAATATCAACTTTTTACCCTATATCGAGACAATGTAACGGCAATCGGTAGAATCCATATGTGGACTGTTGTTTTTGCCGTTAAATCGAACTGCATGAATTTCAATCATACAATAAAGAAATGGATTATTCGTAAGTTTTGTTTTTGTTAGGGCAATAAATAAATACGACGTTGAAGTAAAAAGGACCACTGACAATTGGAATTTGACGATAACATGCACAATATGCAGGGGCCGATCTAGAAGGTTGGAGGGGTGGGGGGGTCCAAACCCCACCCTGCTCAGCTTCATAAAACAAATGAATGCCTTGCATCAATAAAATTAAATCACAATGTGATCCTACATCATTACAAAAATTATTTCTCTTTTTAAAAAAGCACAATTTGTATGTATGCCTATGTAATTTAGAGATGATGATGACAGATTTCCTTAACGGGAACCTGGCAAACCCCCTGCTACAAAAATTCCTTGATCCGCCCCTGATATGCTCCCGACACCGATCTGTAAAAAACGACAACACTATCCACCTTTCTATTTAAGACACCGATCTTTAAACTTAAGATATATCGCCAAAGATACAGTGCATACCCCACACCACTCAACCCCATTAGTCAATAAGACACCGATCTTTAAATTTAAAGAGACACTGCCGGTCGGCAAAATATAATTTTCTATTGACGTGAATTCGCGCTAATTGTATCATCGCTGGCGACACCTGTAACGTAGTTACGAGATATGATTTAAACCACAGTTGGTGTTGGCATCAGTTTATTGTATGTACAACCTCGTGATTCGATCTTGGTGTGCAGTGTTTAAAGCAGTATAATACACAAATAGTAAGTGCAGGAGGACCGCACTACACACAAAACAAAAATCTACAAGATAAACCTGCGGACAAGAAAGAAAAAGACATTGCACCAATTAATCAAGTGAAAGGATCCGGGGGCCAGCCGTAAGCGTCAACTGCGCTGTACAGACTTAGTGACGTCATTACAGTAGAACATCCCTCTTCTCACAAAATAATATCAAGAATTGCTATTATTTGTATCTTGAAGCTAATAGTCGCCTGGGTATGATGGGGATGAAACCGGTAAAATAAAATTGAACCATGTGTTAGTCCCGAAATGACCTGGTTTGTGTCGAGTGGACGTTAAACCCCATTTCTCCCCCCCCCCCCCACGCTCTCTCTCCAAAAGATTTTTTATTGGAATCAAAAGTCAAGTATTATTTTTGTTTCAAAGATAACAATTTATTTTAGGTTTACTTAATATATGAACAATAACTTATTAATTTGTTAACAATATGCAAAATTAGCACACCAATCGGAGCACATCAACCTAGGATAATATACTTGGCCTTGTGGAAACTTTGGCGTCCACTTGAAACAAAATATGTCATTTCTACACTAATATGTGTATTAATTTTATTTCAATAATTTGCTTATGCATAGGAGGAAATCGGGCGCCCGGGGAAACTCCACGTTGTTGGACATGCCTTGTCACGTACAAGCGAGGAATCGACACCACGCCACTTGACTCAGTGAACGAACGTGTGATCCAAAGAAAACGCTTTAAACCATTTTGCCACACAACCCGCCTTGGCAATACAGGGTCGCGGGATTTGGTGGCCCACAGGTTCGGAGCCAAGGTCGGTTGCAGGTGAATGGGGTGGTTTTGCTAGATAGAATTGGCGTAGATTTACAGCCCCCCCCCCCCCACACAAACCCTTAAAACGAGGTCCAATATATAACAATTACAACAATGTGAAACATTTAGAGAACGTTCGACCAGATTCATTCAAAAATTTCATGGCAAAAATCATAAATATATTATTTTTGTCTTAGTTTCAACTGAGTATCGTAAAACAATGTTCTGTTGCCAAGATTATCCAGCCAGTGCCAGCTCGATTCAAACGTAGTACCATATCTTTGTCCATTTATATTAGCTCGACTGCAGACTTGATCATCCAGGTACCACCATCCTCCGTGAAAACGACCTGGACAATCATAATTACTGAAGTCTTGATCATAAGTAGAGAACGGTCTACCATTTATATTGTAACCAGATTGAGTCAGGGAATCGCCGATGGACTTTGCCGTATACTCTACGTATGACTTGATATCAATTCTATAATTATCAGAACGATTTGATATATTGAAGTCATAATAGTAACCTCGAGCAGGAGACATGAGTTTGTCATTGAAAACATACACGACTTCAAGAGCAAACTGGTTACCGTTATGAAGAATGTTATAAACGTGTTCTAAGCCGAGCCAGTAACTCCCGTGGATGTACCCGAATCCATTTGCATATTCGTCCATGGTCCTGTTGAAATCCAGTTCACGACAGTTGAGTTTTCTATACTGAATATACGTCACTCCTCCACAGTTAAAAGTACACTTGACTTCCAGTATGGGACCATGAATTGAGGGTTGGATGTAGGAGAGAAGATTTTTCACTGGAGCCACTGACCCTGTGTACCCATCTGAACAATCTGGAAAATAACCGAAACCAAAAATACCAGATTGAGAAAGACAGAAACGAGACTAATATAGTAAAATAATTAAAGGGAAAGGGAGATGAAGTTTAAAGTTTGCGCAAAGAAACATGGCAACTATCAACGCGGGATTCTCGGGCAACTAGACGCCTATCCTACGACGATGACAAAGAAACATGGCTACTATCAACGCGGGGCTCTCGGGCAACTAGACGCCTATCCTACGACGATGACAAAGAAACATGGCTACTATCAACGCGGGGCTCTCGGGCAACTAGGTGCCTATCCTGCGACGATGACAAAGAAACATGGCTACTATCAACGCGGGGCTCTCGGGCAACTAGACGCCTATCCTGCGACACTGACAAAGAAACGTGGCTACTATCAACGAAAGGCTCTGGACACCATTGTTTGGTGAGGGATATAAGTATGGGCCTCATTGTTTGGTGGGAGATACAACCCTGGGCCTCATTGTTTGGTGAAGATATAACTATGGGCCTCATTGTTTGGTGAAGATACAACCCTGGGCCTCATTGTTTGGTGAGGGGTACAACTCTGGGCCCCATTGTTTGGTGAGGGATAAAACTTTGGTTGATGAGAGGGTTTGGTAATATGTTACCTATGCACCTAATTTAAAAATGACCCATTGTTGAGTGTACGGTTAACCCTCTCTACCATTATCACGTGGTCACAATTTGCCAGTATGTCTCAAATGAGATGAACAAGCAAGTTTCAAACAAGATATCAATAAGCCTGGTCATCTATGAAGTTTTACACACTGATTCTAACTCCAGGATCACGAATCTAACATGCTTTGACTGTGTCAATATTAATAGCAGGGGCAATGCTTTCGATCAAAAACTGAATTTAAGCTACCTCTTGTATCTTACCTTGTATTATATGTTGACATTGATCACCATAGTAACCAATGGGACATCTGGTACAGTTTACCTCATTACACGTAGATTCCTGTAAAAATAAAAAAAACTGATATCAACAAGGTATACCGCTTTAACCTCCAAGCATAACGGTCATGGTAAAGTAGTGACCTTTATGTGGTAACAAAGTCCAAAGGGCGAAATGAACGTCACAAGGAATGTTATAACGACCGCATAATACTGTTCTCCCCATATTTGTTTAATAAAAACGTTATGTCTTTCAAGATTCTTCTACCAATCTACATCTTTCAATGTAGGTAACAGTATGCATTACACGTGCAACAATGGGCGATGCCCGGGATAACCCACTGAGTGTACAGATTCAATACCTCAACAAACCGTCAGAGGCGTCAGAGGGTTGTTGATGGGGCGCCGTATCTGGTCGATGTTGATTTGGACATTGTCAAGAACAACCGAAGATAATTATGTTTCATCAATCCTTTGACCGAACGACACGTATAGAACAGCTTTAAGTGGACTATAACTCCAAAATTATCTTCAATAATATAAACCGTACAATAATACTGAAAACGTTTCCTGGCTGCCAGCCTGGGAAATCTACTGGCAAAACTATGCCTCCGCTCCTTGCCTATCTCCTGGATTTTCTCCGGATCCCCCAGTTTCTTCCCACTGAGATGGGGTTTAACGTCCACTCGACACAAACTAGGTTAATACGGGACTTACATATGGTTTAATTTTATTTCAATAATTCCATTGCGCGTAGGGGTCTTTAGCAGTGAGAGGAAACCGGAGGACCCAGAGAAAACCCACGAGATTGGACAGACGACCCTACTCTTTGTCACGTACAGCCAGGCCTTGTGATACCGCGAGCACGTGCTAACCGTTCGGCAATCCAACCCCCCTGTAAATATATGGAACATATCTATTTTTATATTGCCATTTTAATCCACAACAAGCACACGACCTTCGACATTACCTGAAATTCTTACCTGTCTGTAACAAACTTTGTTAGCAATTTTTTCATCTGTGATACAATTTTCACCCGATTCAAAGACTGAACAGAAATTGGTTTCTTTATCAAACATAAATCTTCGGCAATCATCTATTGATGAACAAAATTTACCACATTCAATCAGAGAGTCGGTTTTTCGGCTCGTCTTCCTAATATTAAACGAATCTTTTAAACAAAATTTATCTTCTTCAAAAACTCGTGTTTTAATATACTTAGAGTTGAGACTTGCTGATACCAGAATAAAATAACATTGGCTGCTGAGGTAAAGAAGAGGAAATACAGAGCTCACCATTATGGTAATTTGTATGAAAATGATCAGGCTCTACCTACATTAACAAGAATATATTATATCAGGAAGTATCTATTTTAATAGTTAAAATTTAACAATGGACTCTTCCTCTCATTATTGATAATGGCTTTTATTTAAAGAGACTGATACTTCATTCTCAGTTTTGATATAAGAATGCTGATTCTTATGCGTCAACATAATTTTGTTACTACCACGTGTGCCATGCTATGAAGGAGAATTTTGCCGAAATGGTGGCGTTCTTTCCTACTTTTTATCAAATTCTACGGGTCAAGACTGAGGTTCGTTTTCAGTCTCGCAGACACCACCCCTATACCACAAACCCGACATATTTTAAAGTGCAGTTCCATTAACCCTCGAATACCACACGCCCAGTGTGTAACAGAAACACACTTTCAGGGTAACCACCTATTAATTTGTATCCCAGCCAATGAAAAATCCGCATTTCTTAAAATATTTTACATTATCGCACAATTATTTTCAGACACATGTAAATATCATGCACGAGGCAGGGTGTTATTATTTTACTTTCTAGAACACCATAGTCTGGTTTTGTTATTTGATCATGGTCTATGGTGCAAGCTATCGGTATATTACTTCCAGCGGACTAATAATGGACAGGACAGCCGATCACAAATGACACCAACATGCTGTACTTATTAAACACGTCCCAGTAATTATGTCTCATTGTGTCGAAATATTGTACTTATTAAACACGTCCCAGTAATTATATCTCATCGTGCCGAAATTGTCCCAGTAATTGTTTGTACATTTAAAGATGCATTATGTACGATTTAGATAAACAGCTGACAGTTCTGGCTATAATAGTTTTATTACAGATGCATTATGTAAGATTTAGACAAAGAGCAGACGGTGCGCGCTATAATAGCTCAAACAACGATAATGAAATGGGTGCATGTTGAAAATTTCAGTCAAATTACTTCATTCTGAGCAGAGTTATTATCGTTAGAAAAACAGTGTTGTTACGATAGTAAACAAAGTCTCAATTTCCATTTTTATATTATCGTTAGAAAGACAGCGTAGACTCGATTGGCATTGTTACCGTTGTAACAAAGTCTCGATTTTCCATTTTTATATTAAGTCATTAACTAGCAATCGTGTCTAAATCCGTTGAAAACCGAACACATTCTATTCTCTAGAGCGTTGATTATGGGCTTGATGAATTATAAAACATTTAAAGGACAATATTGGTGTCAGTCATTATCACATATGTGATAGAACTAGTTAAACACGTTCCAAATATAATTTCAACACAGACATCATTGCTACGATAGATGCGTAGTGATGATTTCAAGAAACGGAAGTGACGAAATCAAAAGAAAAACAAGAGTTATCCTTGTATATAACTGACTGAAGTGACGAGTGATAAAAGATACAAGATTCCTTCGAAGACCGAAAGTTGTTATGTGAGACAGTGAGAGGACATCTGACAATTCCAAAAAGTAATTGAATGTCACTAGATATATAGAAACAGTCCGCTCATATCCTTGTTTTTATTCATTCTATACTTAATAAAAAAAAACATGGTAATGCATGGTAAAGTTTTTCTAGTTTTATCTTAATATTACATAATGTATCTTTAAGTTAAGTGTTATTTTAAAAAAGAAAGGCTGATATCAACAATCGGCTACTTTATCAATAATTGTCTTTATAAAATATAGTATCATATTATTCATGCATTACCTGTGATGTTTGTGAGTGCATTATTGATATACATTAACTATTCTATAATCTAAACATACTGATTGTGGGAAAACAACTGATTTACAACTATCCAGTTAAATAACATTGTAACGTTCTTTCCGTAGTTGATATGGTGTGAATAGTGGGGTTGATTGTCGAAAACTTAGCGCGTGAGCGTTGCATAATAAGGTCTGTCATTGAGTCAACTGGTGTGGTCTCGATTCCCAGTTGTACGTGGCAAGGAGTAGGCTCGCCAGTCCAATATATTTATATATATATATATATATAAATATGTATATACATCTATCTATCTATCTTCTCTTATTTCATGTATCAAGCGCATTGGTGAAAACCGGTGCATAGACACGTGCAGTCTACATATCGTCCTATCAACCTAAACCAACATGACTTACATGATATATATCTATTTGTCAAATATTTAATCTTGTCTGTAGGTCAACATAGATATAAAAACAAAGATAGGTCATACCCACCATAATTATCTACTGGTGTGTCAGAGTATCTGTCATTTGTATAGTGGTGGTTGGTGTTGTGTGTATGTACATATGTGTATAGTTAATTTGATGGTGCTATATATTTACATCAACATTTATATAGTCTTATACAGTTACATACTAACCTGTTTTATCGACCAATATTGACAATTCACGGTATAACCAAAGTATTCTATTCCTTTAACAGTAACCACTTGTGTTAATATGGTATTATTATTATTATTCAGTAACCAACTGTGTTAATATGGAGTTATCTGGTAAAGTAGCCGTTGTTAGTGGATCAACTACAGGAATAGGATTGGGTATCTCACATCATCTAGCAGCTAAAGGTTGTTCTGTTGTTATTACCGGACTGGGTACACAAGATTTAATCCATTCGATTTTAAAAGAATTTAGGAGGTAAGACTACAATCTAATTTCTGTTTAATTATATGTTTTTACATAAGCGCGATATCCTACTTATCAGTGTGGTAGAACTGTGTTGTTTAATACCCGTATTTATTATGTTATATTTAGTGGTGGACTAGTGAGAGCCCTATTCTTAAGATATTTTATATACTTACTGCTACTGAAACGTAGTGAAAACGCAACACTTTTATTAATGGATGACTACAAATTACGTTTGAGAAATGATACACTTTAATCTGGTAATTCTGAATGTAATAACATCAGATCACTAGGATAACACTCGAGAATAATGTATTTTTGCAATGGCTTAAATGCTCTAAAACACACAGAATTTAATTCGATAGAATTGGAAAGTTCAGATCATCTATTAAAAAGACAATAATTTAGTAATGATCTTCTCAGCGTATTACAACCTAAGGAAATTATTAGATAAATAACAGTTTAAAACAACAGTTTAGAACAACAGACGGAAGAGTAAGTGGGACCAAATTTCGTACCCACGGGCACCTCTTTAATTTGTGAATAATATGTTGTTAGATACCACAAAACCAAGTCCACCGATAATAAAGGATTTGGGATAACGACTATGAATTATTTCGGGATATTTTGCAAGGTAGTTTTCAAAAGCTCTATGAGAAACAAGCGCTTTAATACCGCCAACAACAGTATGGCACTCCGATATTCCATTCTGAGCATCATTCAGTTTAGCTTTCTGGGGTCCCTATTGAAGTTAAATTTGACTCCCCAAAGTTTCATATATTCCATAGTGTCATACATTTCTTGTCCATCGCGAAACTTGAGGTACTACATGATTTATTTTAACAGCAAATACAATGGTAGATATGAATTTGTTGAAGGTGATTTGAGAAAAGAAGATTGTATTATAAATCTCTGTGAGAAGGTTCTTCAACTATTTCCTGATGGTGTTGATATACTTATCAATAACGCTGGTAATTGGTCATTTTGTTATTCTTTTAAAAATCCTAGCTGTTATAACTTTTATACCGTGATATACTGAACTATATAAAACATTTTATATAAGAACAGTATGTTCTTGAGTTTTGGTATAAAAATAAACACAACGTGAAGTAATATAAAATCCTAAGTGAAGTCCACATTGACAGATGTAACAGGAAAGAACAACACTTGACGTTTCCATGCCAAGACATAGGTTGGATTTGATCGCCGTAGCTTCGGACGTTGATACACGGGATCGTCGTCATGGACACGCTGGGCAGTACAAGGAATCCCTACTACCATATCACCCCATGCTAATCTATATATGTTGTGATTTAGTTTAGAGCATTCGTGTTAAATGTCTAATAGACATTGGATTCTCAAAAGGAATATATGAGGTGAGAATCCCGGCTTTGGCTAAGGAGAACCTATGGCAACTTCTAAAGTTTTCACTTAATCCTTCGAATGGAACAAAATCCCGGGTCGATCGGTGTATACATATAAGGATATCTGATAGTTAGAAATAAAAAACTTGAGACCTGCCGGTGTCATAGCTCGTAATATAGAAATACAGATTATGAAAATGACGGAAATATTTGTGTTGAAACGTTAAACCCTATTCCATTTCACATGGCATTCTGTCTGTGTTGTTGTCTATGAATTAAAGGTATACAGCATGTTTGTAATGTGGAAGATTATCCAGTACAGAAATGGAATGACATGGTGTCTATTTCATTAACAGCACCATTTATAATGATGCGCCAGTTTATACCAAAGATGAAAGCCAAATGTAGGTTTTTGGGTTTTTTTATGAATATAGATAGTATTTTATATATATAGATAATACAAATGATTATATACTTTGTAAGTAAATTCACTTGTCTCTCATCCCTTTGATAATTTATCATCAATAAAATGTGTTTAAATAAAATAAATTACATTAATTTGTATGTGTCTATTCTATTATTAAACTTACATGTAATGGTCCATTCTAGATCTAATCGTTCATTATACATTTTCCCTTCTTGAACAAAAACAACTGGTGTACACCAAGTTCTATATATTGGCTACTCCAACCATGATTCCAAATCCTTTCAGAAATATAGAACAAATATAACCGATCTAAAGAACAATTATTAAATAAAATGTTTCTTTATATTTATTATACATCAGGTTGGGGGCGTATCATTAGTATATCGTCACAGATGGGTCACGTGAGTGCACCAGGTCGAGCACCGTATTCAGCTGTTAAGTCAGGGATCATTGGTCTTACTAAGGTTTGTATACAACTTTCGTATTGACCTTACTATGGTCTGACTTGGTGGTATATAGGTTGGTATCTTGTTGACCTTACTAAGGTCTGACTTTGTGGTATATAGGTAGCTTACTAAGGTTGGTATCTTGTTAACCTTACTAAGGTCTGAATTTGTGGTATATCGGTAGCTTACTAAGGTTTGTATACAGCTCGGTTTCTTATTGACCTTACTAAGGTTGGTATACAGCTCGGTTTCTTATTGTCCTTAAGAAGGTTGGTATACAGTTAGCTTTCTTATTGGCCTTACTCAGGTTGGTTTTCAGCTAGCTTTCTTATTGGCCTTACTTAGGCTGATGTACAGCTCGGTATTGACCTTAATTAAGTTGGTGTACGGCTTGCTAAGATCTGCCAAATAATGGACTTGGTTATATATTGGTATCTGTTCTGTGATGATGTAACTGTCAATGAATATTGCAGGGTGTAGTGCTAGAAGTTGCAACACATGGTCTAACTGTTAATGCTATGTGTCCTATGTAACTGTTAATGCTATCTGTCCTATGAATATTGCAGGGTGTAGCGCTAGAATTAGCAACACATGGTGTAACTGTTAATGCTATCTGTCCCAGTTTTGCTGACGCACCCAGTAGGTATATATTTCTTTTAACAGTGCAACCTACCACAAATAAACTATGGTGGACTTTTCACCATACATCAATAAACTATAAACAGTATAATGGTTTCAATCGTCGTTGATAGCCAGCAAAACTATGACACAATTAATGACACCATTTGACTACTGTACTAGCGAGGGCAGTATTCTAAACCTAATTTACCTCAGTCGCAATGTAAACAAAACTATGCAACTTCATTTAAATAGCCATGTTTCATTCTCATGTGACCAGTACCTTGGAGGGGAGTTAACTCCATTTAACAAATAATAAATAGGAAAAATCACACAATGGGGTTTTAAACTACGTACCAAGATGTTTAAAAGGTTGAAATGAATAAAAAGTAAAGACGTGTCAGTATAGTTAAACTGATAACTATCAGTATCAATACAACTATATTACCCGAATATCATTTTTACTACAATAACTTGTCGTAATTCATTTTAACAGAAATAATCAAAATATTTTAACCGGTTCTGTCTCCGCCCCATTTCATCTTGGTTTGATTACCTGATGTTGTGGGGAGGGTGATCGATCCGTTTTACACTTGCGCTTTAGAAAAAATAAGGTCTGTCATCTGGTGAAAATGGCGTGGTTTCGATTATCAGATTGTACCTTACAAGGCGTATGGTCGTCTGTCTTCCCACGGCTACAGACACCTTCACGAGAGCGAGTTATTGAAATAAAATCTCTGTCTCTCTCTGTCTCTCTCTCTCTCTCTATCTCTCTCTCTCTCTCTCTCTATCTCTCTCTCTCATGATATGATTACCTATGTTCAATAATGAATTTATATTTTTATAGTTTTACATTCATTTGTAAAAGATGAAGCTGAAGAAAAGAACATTAGTTATGAAGATGTAAAGGTATGTATTTATTTATAACTTGGTATCTCTGTTGTTCGTACATCTTGTCAATGGATTGTTTATGTTGATGGACAATGTAGAGGTGTAGATTTAAAACCATACCTAACAACACTACAGTAATACAGCAGCACTCAGACCTGACAAATATACCAGACATAACAGTTAAACCCTGGCCGAGTAAATATACAATTAAAACGGTACTGCACAATCACAGGAATATTGTCCAAAGGTGCACAAATTCAGAATGTGAAAATGAATTCTTGTCAATTAGCTACATGGATGTAGAGTTAAACCACGCGTCTTTCAAAGTGATTCCAGTGACAAGTGGTATCGCATGTTCCGATAATATTAAGCATAGCATAATACCTCACCTCGTACATGACACCCGTCATAACTTGTAGCACGGGATCTTTAACTGACAGTATAGCCTGACATTGGTTTATGATAATCGGGGTCATAAGGATTAATTAAGCTAGTTGTATATCTTTTATATTTCAGGCCCAGTATGCATCCAAGGTACCAACTGGACAGTTAATTACCATAGATCAGGTAAATAAATATATATAGTAACACAGATTCTATAGACTAGTCAGTGTATTAGTATATATAATAACACAGATTCTATAGACTAGTCAGTGTATTAGTATGTATAGTAACACAGATTCTATAGACTAGTCAGTGTATTACTATGTGTTGTAACACAATTTCTATAAACTAGTCAGTGTAATAGCATGTGGTATAAATTCGTATCGTGGGTTAATTACCATACATCAGGTAAATAAATATGATAGATTCTATAGGGTAGTCACGTGGTATAAATTCGTACCGGGGGTTCCGATATGAAATGGAATGAAATGGGGTTTAACGTCCTAGTGTTCTGCTCCTATGCAGGGCTAATGAAGACGGGCATACGCCATACAGTGTGCTATGAGGGAAATTGTGCCCGGTCATCGGCACTATCGCCTACTCTTATATCGAATTCCCAACTGCCAAGGGATCTTTCACGTGCATTCCAATGTATATACGGGACCTCGGTTTTTCGTATCATCTTTGTCAGGCATTCCGTCCTGCATCACTGACAAGGGGGAACCACGTCGGAAAATCTGGATGAACTTTCTCGGCCAATGTAGGGATCGAACACTGCGTCTTACCCACTTAGCCACGTGATCCCCCCGGGGGTTCAGGAAATTATATATGTTAAGTATGGACTAGTTGGAGCGATGATGACGACCGTTACACATTTTATATATGAAAATTGAAATATATATTCATGGCCACTTGCACTCTCCTTAATATTAAAACACGGTCACCCGGGCTTATTTAATTGGCTCATGCCAATTTGATTGGTCTTTTATAAAACGCAATAACTGGACTTTTTGAATATCGATGTCTGCCCGATCAGTAATGTCAGCTGTGTCTTTTCTATGACTTATTACCATGTAATTATTCCATGATGCCATTAGTTGACTATGTTTATAAAAATCGGAATAATTATTAAACTGTAAGATACAAATCTCAACATCAATGCCATCTGTGTAAATTTAATTATAACCCTACTGTAATAGATCTGTAAATGAAACTGTACTTCTCTAAATAACATCCATACATAATCAGGACTGGAAATAGTCTGAGTCTGACATTTTCAATAACAGCTCATATCACCTCAACTATGACTATACATAACAGTTCATAGTCTGGACCTAGACGTCAATTAATAAACCTTTCTACAGTTAATAAATACAATTTCTTACTGCATATAGTAAATATAGGTATAAGTTTAATTAGAGTATGACATGTAGTAAATATGTTTAATTACCCTACGGCAGATATTAAATATGTTTAATTACCCTACGGCATATAGTAAATGTTTAATTACCCCGTAGGTTGTAGTAAATATGTTTTATTACCCTGCAGGATATACTAAATAGGTTTAGTTACCCTACAGCATATAGTAAATAGGTTTAATTACCTTGCAGCATATAGTAAATATAGGTTTATGTTTTATTCCGATGTGTTAGATCTATTGAGATATTATTTTATTATTTTCTGATAGATCAGTGAGATGGTGTTATACTTGTGTTCACCAGGAGCCTGTAATGTCACCGGTACTTCTATACTGATAGATGGTGGATTTACAGCAAGATAAACACTAAACTGCAACCTGCTAAAGATTACATCATATGTTATACAAATGCTGGTATAGGACATAAAAAACTAATAATAGATATATATGATTAAAATCCCCTATTCGCCACAAAGTGGAGAAAGTGGAGTTTTTATGATAATCCACTGATCAGGAATTCTCATTTATGATATGTTTTCTTTGTTTTAAACATCTGATTGAATGAAATGTGTGTTGGAGACATTATGTGAATCCACTGCCCAGGCATCTTTATACATGATTGTGATATTTATAAATTCATAAACGGTTTGTAATATTTATTGTATCTGTTTTATACAGTAAAAACAAATGCACACACATATGTGGACTACTTGCACTAAATGGTAGCCAATCAAATGCAAGTGATAATATTAATTATATTTGTGAAAAACATGAAATGTATAAGAATGTCTTCTGTTCAATGAAAAAAACTAAAATGATAAGTTGGATGGTAAATGTTACCACTAACAAATATCAAGTTGATGACCTGTAAACTGCTGTCGCTATAAATGACATGTTATTTATGAAACATTCTAATGAACAAATAAACGAGATTATAGAGTATTTATGTAAAAAATAACTCAGTTTAATTTGATTAAACTACGGAAGCTCAAATACGAACTATTTTTGTTTATTTCTTTTCCTATTTTTATTTTCAATTTTTAATTTTGAAAAAAGTAATTTCGAATTTCTATTTTGAATTTTCGATTTTGTACAATAATTTTCAATTTTGTACAATAATTTTCAATTTTGTACAATAATTTTCAATTTTGTACAATAATTTTCAATTTTGTACAATAATTTTCAATTTTGTACAATAATTTTCAATTTTGTACAATAATTTTCAATTTTGTACAATATTTTCAATTTTGTAATTTTTATTTTCAATTTTGTAAAATAATTTCTAATTTTGTAAAATAATTTTTGATTTTGTAAAATAATTTTTAATTTTGTAAAATAATTTCTAATTTTGTAAATTTGTTTTCAGAACCATCAGACCAACCCGGTTCACTTACATCTTGTCCAACCTCGTGGGTTTTCTCCAGGTCCTCCGGTTTCTTCCCACTGCAAAAGACCCCTACGCGCAAGCGAATTATTTAAATAAAATCAAACCCTAATTTAAGTTAGTCCCGAAATGACCTAGTTTGTGTCAAGTGGACGTTAAACCCCATTTCTCTCTCTCTCTCTCTCTCTCTCTCTCTCTCTCTCTCACACTTACTGGTAGTAGTTGCGATGGGACAAAAAATTGAGGTCTCGTGTACACATTGGAGTGCACGTCAAAGATCTCTTCGCAGTTGGAATTCGATATAAGTTTAGGCCGTAGCGTCGCTGCCGGGATAAAATTTCCTTCATAGTACACTGTACGGCGTATGTCCGTCTTCATTAGTCTAGTCGAAGCAGAACATTAGGACGTTAAACCACACTTCATTTCCCTGTCGCCATGGGGCCCACGGTGGCTATGCGAGTAAGACACTGTCGGCCGAGAATGTTCATCGGTATTTTCAGGCGTGGTTTCCCCCTGTAAATGGTGCAGGACGGAGGGCCTAACAAAGACAGCTGTTGAGTCGTTCGGATGCGACGAGAGAGAGAGAGAAATGGGGTTTAACGTCCACTCGACACAGACTATGTCATTTCGGGACTACGGATGCGACGAAAACTTAAAGGCCCACCCATTGGCGTGCAGGTAAAAGACCCCTTAGCAGTTGAAATTCGATACAAGAGTAGGCCGTATAGCGCCGCTGCCCGGGCAAAATTTCCCTCGTAGCACACTGTATCGCGTATGCCCGTCTTCATTAGCCCAGTCGTAGCAGAACAATCGGACGCCAAACCCCATTTCATTTCATTTTATTTTATTCAGTGTTCCCATTTCGTTGATAACAGAAGCTTGTATATACATGTATTCGGCCTACCTCGTCTATTTTTATACTTTTATTTGACCTCGACTGCACACCTTCCAAACGCGCTGCCTTTAAAGAAAATTGCGACTAACACGCCTTTTTAAGAACTGTTTTTGTTAAGCGACACGTGTTTATAATCAGTAACCCTACGACCGTACCACAATAACAGTAGTTGTGCCTCACACACCATTCAAGATATCAACCTTTCAACCAAATATCAATCTATTATAGTAATTGTGCCTTTTGCAAATTTGGAATTTATCGGATTTTGTAATTTTTGTGTTTCCATGGAAACAAATCTGAGTTAGTTTTTAGTCTACAATTCTGTTGCCGGTGAATATCTCTTAAACCACTCAAGATATCTTTATAAAACTATGTACAAGCATCAACCTATTAAAGTAGTTGTGCCTTTTGCTAATTCTGAATTTCTCGGATTTAGTAATTTTGTGTTTCATTGGAAACAAATTTAACATAGTTTTTGATACACATTTTTTAATCCAGATCATATCTCAAGAACTGTTCAAGATATATTCATGAAACTTTGTACAAACATCAACCTGACATAATAGTTGGGCTTTTCACTTAATTAAAAATTCTTAGGTTTTACTCATTTTTGGGTTTCAATGGAAACAGATTTCTGTGTTGAGTGATTTTTGAGTTTTTACCACAACACATTTGACTTACAATTATTGTTCTAGAGTATATCTCAGAAACTGTTCAAGATACCTTTATAACATTTTTACATTCATCAACGTATTATTTCATTTTCGTTTCCGGAGAAATTATCCGTTCAAGACATCTTTTTGAAACTCTGTACAAACATCAGCCTATTCTGGTGTATAAACTTGTTGTTTAACATACAGCATTGTTTAACATACAGCTGATTGGGGTAGGCAACGGTTGTTGTGCAATCCTTACAGGGATTAGCGACCCTGTCTTGCCGCGCCACTGTGATCGGAGTATGAATCTTCTGACCAGTCCAATTGATATTTCATGTGTTGGAATATGAGATTAATCTGATATATTTTTATATTGATTACCAATAACATAAAGAAGTTGTTTTTATTTATGCCGTCAAAACACGTGCAAGGGCGCCGGGTGTTGATGATTATATAGTCATCTTGTTGATTTTGAAATCTGAATATCGAAAAATGAATAGCTTGGTTTTCGTTATTCGCCTATATCGAAAACCGAAAAGCGCGTTTTTCGTTATTCACCAATAAAGAAAATAGAGCTAACACTGCTGCTTAACAAGGTCAACAATTGGCTTCCATTTTATGCACATCATGCCGTCGTCACTCCTGTTCGTCCGTCCGTCATTAATAGTTAGTCATTTTCGAAACAGCTTGATTGATTTGAACAACATCTGGTAGGAATGTCACCAGTGTGGTGTTTATAGAGATTTGTTAAAATGATGTCAGGGGTCATCTTTAAAGGGAACATTTAAGTTATGACTAAATTTATACAATAAAAGTTTGTTAAAATTAAAGAATTGTAAGGGCAGACGAGGACAGGGAACAATGCAGCTGGACAAATTTAAAGATTGTTGACTTACATGTACTTTCTGAAAGCTCTTGATTTTGATAAAAGAAAATTGGTATGAATGAATGTAATTATGTTGTTTGTGGTGGGTTATTCAGATTTGTTCACTTGAAGACACTTGACCACACAGTGGCAGGACTAGGACACCTTCATCCGACAAGAGGTAACAGAGCTGGAACATCCCGAGTTGACCACACATTTGACCACACGGCTGGACACCTTCATCCGACAAGCGGTAACAGAGCTGGAACGTCCCGAGTTGACCACACATTTGACCACACAGCTGCAGGACTAGGACACCTTCATCCGATAAGGGGTAACATAGCTGGAACGTCCCTTGTTGGACTTGCTGCGTGCACCGAGATGAACCTAGATTTTCTAAATCCGCCGTAGGGCTCACAAGGGAAGGGGGAAAACCCGCTGTAGGACTCACAAGGGAAGAGAAGAAATCCCGATGTAGGGCTCACAGGGTAAGGGAGAAAAATCCGCTGTAGGGCTCACAAGGGAAGGGAGAAAAATCCGATGTAGGGCTCACAGGGTATGGGAGGAAAATCCGCTGTAGGGCTTACAAGGGAAGGGAGAAAAACCCGATGTAGGGCTCACGGGGTAAAGGAGGAAAATCCGCTGTAGGGCTCACAAGGGAAGTGAGAAAACCCCGCTGTAGCGCTCACAGGGGAATAGAAGAACAACCGTTTTACGGCTCATGGGTAAAGGACGAAAGGAAGAAAAACCGTTGTAGGACTCACATGAGAAGAAACCCCACTGTAGGGCTCACAAGGGAATGGAAGGAAACCGATGTTGGGCGTCACAAGGGAAGGGGAGAAGAACTGTTGTAGGGCTCACAAGGGACGGGATTTATTGTCCACTCGACACAAACTAGGCAATTTCGGGAATAACATATGGTTCAGTTATATTTCAATAATTCGCTTGCGCGTAGGGGTCTTTATCAGTGGGCGGAAACCAGAGGACCCGAAAAATACCCACGAGGTTGGGCAGACGACCCAACTCCTTGTCAAGTACAAGCAGTAAATTGTGGAGTTGTCAGTTACATACAAATTTTTTGTCGTAACCTTAAATGTTTCAACATTTTTTTTGTTTAAATCATAATCTGCCTTTAATTGGATGTACTTGTCCTGATTTGTTCCAAAATGGCAAAGCTGGGTATCTTGTGGGAAAACATAGAAACTGTCGTCAAAAACCTATAATGGCTTTCAGTAAAATATACAATGGATTTTTACATAATCAGCCTTTCACTGGTGTTTTATTGTCTTGACAGGTATGATCATATACTGTAGGATATCATATTATCACTAAGTGATTAAAATCCCTGTATCCCTTGTTTATTTCATTGATCATATAAAGTACAAGTCGTTTAAACGTTTTAAGAATATATTTTATATACAAGAACAATGATAGAATATATTTTATATACAAGAACAATATATATTAATAACAGAATATATTTTATATATAGGGACAATACATAAGTACTATGAATGATAATGATGATCATAACCCATAATCAACCGATATAGTACGTGTTATAATCTTTATAGAGGAAAATCATTGAATTCTCCTTTATATCTGTATGATCATAGCCCATAATCAACCGATATAGTACATGTTATAATCTTTATAGAAGAAAATCATTGAATTCTCCTTTATATCCATTCATAGACTCTGAAGAATCTGTATGATCAGGTTATTAAAATTAACTGAAATAAAGACATATCACAAAACAAACAGATGTAGTTGCAAAAAGTTGGGTTAGAATGTTCTAGTTCCGTTAGTATTACATATCACTGATTCAGTGAATATATCAATGTCTGCGATATCACGGAAAATACAACTAACGTCACACACAGAAATGACCGTATAATCGTCTCTTCCTGCACTCGCCGTTATTATCACGCCATAATGACGATATGCGATAATGACGCCAAACCTAAAATGACGTCATATTTGAACCCTTCGTACTGCAGAATGTTCTCGTTGTCGGGTTGTGCTCCTGTTTCTTCACTACACTTATTAATTTAGCGTTTTCCGAGATTCTATCCGGATTATCGCCCTTATTGTTAAAATTGTTTGACGTTCTAACTCATGACGTCACATTATTTCGGTTACATCTTTTTTGTATTTCTGATTGTTTTTAAATTTGAGTGAAGTCTGTGTCACTACATGCCCGGGACTTACAGCGCAGTGGACGCTTACGGCTGGTCCACGGATCCATTTACTTGATTTGGTGTTTGTTTATTTGGTGCAATGTAGTGCGATCCTCCTGCACTTACTATTAGAGTAGAGTTTTAACCCTTCGTACTGCAGAATGTTCGCGTTGTTGGGTACGATACATGATTCTATGCCTGTCCATTATAAATTTTATGGTCTAAAGTGACCGGAGAATACCTTACTGAATGATAATCACGAGATAACTTTTACAATGCTATTTATTTTAGATTATGGATTTCATTCAGCTAATTTTACTAGTAGCTGTGAGTGTTAAATACTGTTAATTAATCTGACTATAATCATCACCTTCCAGTAACAACTATAACGTCAACAGAAAGCAACTATTTCATTTTGATACATTTTATAAAATATGCATCAAAACATAAATCATGACCAGCGTTGACCATTGGGATATTTCATGGTTTTCGTACACTCGATGTTCAGCTCATGGTCAGTATTTAAAGTGTAATATTTGTAGATATATCGCCTATAATCATCATATCTGTCTTTAGCTCTATCATAGCCACCATAACCATCATCATCATCAAAATCATTACAACCATCATCAATATTATCTATGTTGTAATCTGTAGGATGAAGAACATCTTTTAACAGGAGAAATTCGTTTAATTCTCTAGGCAGTTCTAGATCCATAACCTTCTCATTTATACCCAATCCTAGCTTCTTTCTGATGATTCTCCTACACTGAGACTTGAGAGATATATTACAGCAGTACTTAGTGAATATCTCTCGGTGTCGTGAGTTGAATGTGGCATCTGGATCATCTATATCTCTTTCCAGGAAATTTAAATGTTGTACTATTTCTTCTTCTGGTGAACCTCTAAGACATAATAGTCTTTCCATGTCATCTCTCTCTACATTTGTATCTTCCTTCTCAAAATTTAATGTTGCTACTATTTGGTTTTCAGGAGCGCCACCAAGATATAAAAGTTTTCTCAGTTCACCTCTCTCTTGACTGCTAAGTTCTCTCATATCAATCTGGTTATAACTACTTTCAACTGAAGATGTAACAAGAGACTGAAGACAGCAGTTTTCACCGACTAAATATTTAATAAAACTAACAGCCGTACGTGGATCCCAACAACGTGGAAAACACAAGGTGGCTTGGATCAGTGTGGTACCATTAATACAGGGTAAATTGAGAAGCATATTATCTCCAGCAGATACAAGTAATTTAAAACTTAGATCAAACACACTCTCATAAATATCAAGATGATGTAAAGCAGATTTTCCACTGTAATTAACCAGTGCACCAGCATTAAGTAATTTCCTTATAAGAAATCTATCGTTTTTCATTGCCGCCATCATTAAAGCAGTTCTACCTCTCCCATCTTGAGTATTTATATTTATACCAACAGCAGCCAGTAAAATATCAACACACTCCATGTATATTGGATATATCTGTCTACAGTAATCCTCAACAACGTCATTTTCCTGTCTGTTATTTAGGCCATCTTTAATCAGAGTAAATCCAATGATACACAGATGAAGAGCTGTGTGACCGTTGTTATTCTGTGCATTGATGTCTAGTCTAGGATGACGTGTGAATAGTTCTAAATATTTACTATTCAATAACAGAGCAGCTATCATAATAGGTGTATTGGTTTTAGAACATGGATGGTTTACGTCTAGCTTTTTATTAAACAACCAGTTAAACGTCTGTAGAGAATAATCATAGTTTACTCTAGCTAACAGATGTAGCATATTTTCTCCTTCTGTTGTAACACCATTAACAATCACCTGTAATCCCATGTAATAATTGAACAGCTCCAACCTCTTACAAGTAAGAATCTGGTGAAATAATTTCACTTCGTTGTTAGGTGACATGAGTACATCGCGAGAATAAAGTTTAAATATATTAGTGCAATCCACGTCACGATATTGAACACAATAACTACACGCTGTATCACCATTATTATCTGTCAGATTTACATCAGAATGTTGAATCATCTGTTTTAAGATACGGATATCAGTTTGCCTTCTTGTACAGTACATTAATGGCGTTTGTCCATCTTTATTTTGATGATTCACATTACAGCCAGCAGAGATCAATGCAGTAAACAAATTATAGAGTAATCTGAAGCATAACATATTACTTTGTTTTAATAGATTATATTGTAATCTGAAGATATTACTTTGATTTAATACGTTTATCAGGGCATCATCGTTTGTTGCTATATAGAACAGCGGAGTGTTACCATCAATATCGGGTTTGTTCACATCTACTCTCATGTTTATCAAAGTTTTAACAACCTGAATCCAATCGTCTGTATACTGGTCTAAATCTTCCGAGTTAATACGATGCATATCATATAATACAGGGTCTAAATCTTGCTTGTCTAAATACTCGTCTTCCTCGTCTGAATACTCGGCTTCCTCGTCTGAATACTCGTCTTCCTCGAGAATACAGTGTATATTATATAATACATGGTGCAGAATATTCTGGTCATATTCATCAATATAATATACATGTGCCCCATGTCCTAACAAATACATTACAACATTATACCACCTGTTCCTAACAGCTATATCTATAGGTGTTTGTTGGTCTTGATTTAGATGGTTGACATCTACACCAGTTTCAACTAATTTAATTACACAAGGTAACAACTCATCTCTTTCCTTTTTACCATATCTGTAACTATATAAAACTAAGTGTAAGACATTATTCTGTTTCTTATCAGTATACTGTACATCAACACAATGATTTATCAGATATATAACAATGTTATACAATCTGCACCTAGCAGCTATATCTATAGGTGTTTGTTGGTCTTCATTCATATGGTTGACATCTACCCCAGCTTTAACTAATTTTATTACACACTGTAACAATTCATCACTTTCTATTTCAAGATATTGCCATGTACTATCTAAAACTAAGTGTAAGACATTATTCTGTGTCTTATCGGTATACTGTATATCAACACAATGATCTATCAGATATATAACAATGTTATACAATCTGTTACTAGCAGCAGCTATATCTATGGGTGTTTGGTGTTCTTCATTCAGATGGTTGACATCTACACCAGCTTTAACTAATTTAATTACACACTGTAGCAACTCTTCACGTTCTATTTCACTATATCTTCTTTCCCTTTGTAACACTAGGTGTAAGACATTATTCTGTTCCCTATCAGTATACTGTATATCAACACAATGATCTATCAGATATATAACAATGTTATACAATTGGTACATAGCAGCTATATCTATAGGTGTTTGTTGGTCTACATTCAGATGGTTGACATCTACACCAGCTTTAACTAATTTCATTACACACTGTAACAACCCACTTTCTATTTCATCATATTCCCTTCCACTCCTTCCACTACCTAACACTAAGTGTAAGAAATTATTCTGTTTCATATCAGTATATTGTTTATCAACACATTGATCTATGAGATATATAACAATGTTATAAAATCCTTTCCTAGCAGCTATATCTATAGGTGTTTGTTGGTCTTCATTCATATGGTTTACATCTACCCCAGCTTTAACTAATTTTATTACACACTGTAACAATTCATCACTTTCTATTTCAACATATTGCCATGTACTATCTAAAACTAAGTGTAAGACATTATTCTGTTCCCTATCAGTATACTGTATATTAACACAATGATCTATCAGATATATAACAATGTTATACAATCCTTTCACAGCAGCTATAATTATAGGTGTTTGTCGGTCTTCATTCAGGTGGTTGACATTTATACCAGCTTTAATTAATTTAATTACACAAGGTAGCAACTCATCACTTTCATTTTTACCATATCTGTAACTATATAAAACTAAGTGTAAAACATTATTCTGGTTCATATCAGTATACTGTATATCAACACAATGATCTATCAGATATATAACAATGTTATACAATCTGTATATAGCAGCTATATCTATAGGTGTTTGTTGGTCTACATTCAGATGGTTGACATCTACACCAGCTTTAACTAATTTCATTACACACTGTAACAACCCACTTTCTATTTCAACATATTTCCTTCCAGTCCCTAACACTAAGTGTAAGAAATTATTCTGTTTCATATCAGTATATTGTTTATCAACACATTGATCTATGAGATATATAACAATGTTATAAAATCCTTTCCTAGCAGCTATATCTATAGGTGTTTGTTGGTCTACATTCAGATGGTTGACATCTACACCAGCTTTAACTAATTTCATTACACACTGTAACAACCCACTTTCTATTTCATCATATTTCCTTCTACTACCTAACACTAAGTGTAAGAAATTATTCTGTTTCATATCAGTATATTGTTTATCAACACATTGATCTATGAGATATATAACAATGTTATAAAATCCTTTCCTAGCAGCTATATCTATAGGTGTTTGTTGGTCTACATTCAGATGGTTGACATCTACACCAGCTTTAACTAATTTTATTACACACTGTAACAATTCATCACATTGCCATGTACTATATAAAACTAAGTGTAAAACATTATTCTGGTTCATATCAGTATACTGTATATCAACACAATGATCTATCAGATATATAACAATGTTATACAATCTGTACATAGCAGCTATATCTATGGGTGTTTGTTGGTCTACATTCAGATGGTTGACATCTACACCATCTTTAACTAATTTCATTACACACTGTAATAACCCACTTTCTATTTCATCATATGTCCTTCCACTCCTTCCACTACCTAACACTAAGTGTAAGAAATTATTCTGTTTCATATCAGTATATTGTTTATCAACACATTGATCTATGAGATATATAACAATGTTATAAAATCCTTTCCTAGCAGCTATATCTATAGGTGTTTGTTGGTCTACATTCAGATGGTTGACATCTACACCAGCTTTAACTAATTTTATTACACACTGTAACAATTCATCACATTGCCATGTACTATATAAAACTAAGTGTAAAACATTATTCTGGTTCATATCAGTATACTGTATATCAACACAATGATCTATCAGATATATAACAATGTTATACAATCCTTTCACAGCAGCTATAATTATAGGTGTTTGTCGGTCTTCATTCAGGTGGTTGACATTTATACCAGCTTTAATTAATTTAATTACACACTGTAGCAACCCATCACTTCCATTTTTACCATATCTGTAACTATATAAAACTAAGTGTAAAACATTATTCTGGTTCATATCAGTATACTGTATATCAACACAATGACCTATCAGATATATAACAATGTTATACAATCTGTACCTAGCAGCTATAGATATAGGTGATTGTTTATATTCATTCAGATGATTCACATCTACACCAGCTTCAACCAATTTTTTTACACACTGTAACAACTCATCACTTTCTGTTTCAACATATTTCCATGCACTATCTAAAATTATGTGTAAGACATTATTCTGGTTCATATCAGTATACTGTATATCAACAAAATGATCTATCAGATATATTACAATGTTATACAGTCCTTTCCTAGCAGCTATATCTATAGGTGTTTGGTGTTCTTGATTCAGATGGTTGACATCTACACCAGCTTTAACCAATTTTTTTACACATTGTAACAACTCATCACGTTCTGTTTTACCATATTTCCATGCACTATCTAAAATTAGGTGTAAGATATCATTCTGGTTCATATCAGTATACTGTATATCAACACAATGACCTATCAGATAAATAACAATGTTATACAATCTGTACATAACAGCTATATCTATAGGTGTTTGTTGGTCTACATTCAGATGGTTGACATCTACACCAGCTTTAACTAATTTCATTACACACTGTAACAACCCACTTTCTATTTCATCATATTTCCTTCCACTCCTTCCACTCCTTTCATCACTTTCATTTTTACCATATCTGTAACTATATAAAACTAAGTGTAAGAAATTATTCTGTTTCATATCAGTATATTGTTTATCAACACAAGGATCTATGAGATATATAACAATGTTATAAAATCCTTTCCTAGCAGCTATATCTATAGGTGTTTGTTGGTCTACATTCAGATGGTTGACATCTACACCAGCTTTAACTAATTTCATTACACACTGTAACAACCCACTTTCTATTTCATCATATTTCCTTCTACTACCTAACACTAAGTGTAAGAAATTATTCTGTTTCATATCAGTATATTGTTTATCAACACATTGATCTATGAGATATATAACAATGTTATAAAATCCTTTCCTAGCAGCTATATCTATAGGTGTTTGTTGGTCTTCATTCATATGGTTTACATCTACACCAGCTTGAACCAATTTAATTACACACTGTAACAAGTCATCCCTTTCATCTTGATCGAGGTATGATCGGTAACTATCTAAAACTAAGTGTAATAGATTGTTATGTTCACCATCTTTATACTCTAACGGTATATCAACACAATGATCTATCAGATGTGTAACAAGTTTATAACAACTACATATAGCAGCTGTAATTATAGTTTCATTCCTTTCCTGGGGTGACAATGTTGCCTGTATATCTGATATACGACGTCTTTGGTGGGCAGCTATTTGAACAATTTCGTCAAATCTGAAATATATTAAAGAAGGTTTCGGTTTAATGACCTACTGTTAAGTCAAAGTATATGGGCCCGGTGGCGCTACAGTAAGCACACCAGTGGTCAAACGTGACTAAACCGGGGTGATACTTGGAGAGATATTAGCAAGACAATGATACAGGTTGAATGGTATGTCGCTAAATCTGTAGAGAGGGACAAATGTGGCTTATGGTGGCAATAACCGTAGTAGTGACATGGCTACAACGTAATAAACTGTGGTGGCATAGTAGTCAAGTTGCGAACTATACTAATGTCCAAAAGAAAGTATACACTGTGCATTTCGTGGTGCATCACCCAAAGTCGTTTCCAATGTATGCGGCATTTTAGTATTATGTCAACCTGTTTCGCTTTTTTATTTTCCTTTTTAATGTTGAGTTTGGACGCAAGAGATAAACTCAGTAATGTTTTATCAAATGTTTTTAATCTAAACAAAACATAATCATATTTTTAGTGTGTATACTTTCCTTTGGGCATTAGTATACATTCCATAATGGCACCGATTTAAGATCCTTGGAAAACCGTTGCTGGGAATGTGCTATCTTTAGTCTTATTGCCGCACTTGGCTTACCACCCCTACCCCACCCACTCTACCAACTCCACCATTCCAGTCCCTCTACACTTTATACATTTATCTAAAGCATCAAACAATATACATCACACAAATCACAAACTTACGCATCAACACATTCACACCACCAAGCAATACACCTAACACAAATAACTAATACAATGTATACCTTGATCCTTCCTAGTAATCTAAATACACCAACTAATACTATATACCTTGATCGCTCTTAGTAATCTCAATACATCAACCTAACACTTTATACAGTGGTCACCCATCTGATACATTATACACTGGTCACTCCTAGTAATCTAAATACATCAATCTGATACTTTATACATTCATCTCTACTAGTAATCTAAAAACACCAGCATGATACTCTATACAACTCTATTAGTAATCTAAATACACCAACCTGATACTATATACAACACTACTAGTAATTTAAATAAACCAATATAGCTCAGTTGTTAAATATACTTTAAGTGTTTTTTTTTATAAATTAAGGCTTTGTTATCGTTTAAGGCATTATTATCCAATAAAGCTATATTATCCTTTAAGGCTTTGTTATCCTTTCGGGTTTTATACTGATTTAAGCTGTATTATCTTTTAAAGCTTTACAATCATTTAAGGTTTTATTTTCTTGCAAAGCTTTATTATCCTTTAGGTCTTTGTTATCTTTTAAGGCTCTATTATCCCTAAAGGTTTTTATAATCATCATTTAAGGCTTTATTATCCTTTGAGACTTTATTTATCTTTTAAGGCTCTCTTATGAATAAACGCTTTTTATTATCATTTAGGGCTGTATAATCCGTTCAGGCTTTATCATCATTAAACGATTTATTATATTTTAAGGCTTTATAATCCTTTAAGGTTTTATAAGGCTGTATTTTCTATAAAGGTCCTATTATCCTTTAAGGTTTTATTAAGTCTTTATTATAATTCAAGACTTTATCTTACTGGACCCGTAGTCTCTTCATTGCAATTATTCATATTTCCGATTTTGCAAACTAGCTTCTACCCAAATCTTATATTACCCAGTTGTTTATTATATTCCACTGACATACTCTATTACCACACCCGCCTACATGCCCCATCCCATAATCAACTACTCACTGACTCAACGTCTCCCCTACAACCAGTCACCACATAAACCAAATGGATCAGATTTAGTTTGAAATTAAGACACCAACCTGATATAATTCAACATTAATTCAACATTCTCGTTTAACCTGTCTCCCATATCTTCAGGATTCATCTCGTGTACCCTCTCTCCCATATCCCCTGTATTCATCTCGTGTAACCTCTCTCCCATATCACCTGGATTCGTCTCGTTTAACCTCTCTCCCATATCATCAGGATTCATCTCGTTCAACCTCTCCCCTATATCTTCAGGATTCATCTCGTTTAATCTCCCATATCATCAGGATTCATCTTGTTTAACTCCCATATCATCAGGATTCATCTTGTTTAACCTCCCATATCATCAGGATTCATCTTGTTTAACCTCCCATATCTTCAGGATTCACCTTGTTTAACCTCCCATATCATCAGGATTCATCTTGTTGAACCTCCCATATCATCAGGATTCATCTTGTTTAACCTCCCATATCATCAGGATTCATCTTGTTGAACCTCCCATATCATCAGGATTCATCTTGTTTAACCTCCCATATCATCAGGATTCATCCACTTTAACTGTTGTACTTTTCTAGACTGTTATGAAATATATAAACCACTGTAAAATAATAAAATTATGTTATGTATAATAGTATTGTGTAATTATGTTTCTCCTCATTACCAGCTTTCCTTTTTTTAACAATCTTAGATTCCATAAATATCTGAGAACTCTTTACCGAATAAGACAAGTGTTTCCTAATAAACTTGCCGGAGAAGCCACATTAAAGGCTTAATCCAGCTTGGGGATTTGAGACAAAGTTGTGGTGTAATATATAGATAACAATTAGAAACCATTTAGCAGATAAAACAATAATTACAAGGAATTAACAATTTGACCTAGAGAGTTGATTATTGGCTTGGCAGGTGTAAAATGTCTAAATAATTATTTATATCGCATTTGAAGCCAGAAGAACAGACATGAAATAGTCAAATTTAGCCCTTGCATAATGCATTTTTAATATCTGCAGAATTCTTTGTAAAAATCATTTAGAAATAAATTTAAAAATGAAATTTAAGTTATAAATGGTTAGATTGTAAATATCCAAAAATATCTAAGTGTAGGTTAATTGGGCATTCCATGTGTTAAGTGACAGTAGATGGTGGTCAGTATTTTACTCACTATAGACAGATAGAATCCCATTGTCACTCTGTTTACGGCTTGGATAAATCTATAATGTTTATAATAATTTAAATATATACAGTTTTATTTAATAATATTTACGTTACCTGTCAAACAATAGTTAAACTTTCCATTTTCCTGCTGACAATATCACAATATCCATCTTTTTGACTAACAACACAGGGTCTATTTTTAACTGGAAAAACCAAGTCACATATTTATAATATGCAACAACCAGAAAATATATTGTATAGTTGTATGAGACAACCAGGACATGTTGTATAGCTGTTTCTATTTATTATATGCAACAACCATGATTGATTATAATGCATAGCTGTTTCTGTTTATAATATGCAACAACCATGATTGATTATAATGCATAGCTGTTTCTGTTTATAATATGCAACAATCATGATTGATTATAATGTATAGCTGTTTCTATTTATTATATGCAACAACCATGATTGATTATATTGTATAGCTGTTTCTGTTTATAATATGAAAGAACCAGGATAGTAGATAAGAATGTTTACACAACTACGATAAAACAAGACTATAAAGATAAAATGAAATGAAATGAAATGGGGTTTATCGTCCTACTGTTCTGCTCCTATACTGGGCTAATGAAGACGGGCGGAAGTCAATAAGTTCATAGAAGTGGATATAAAACAGAAGCCAAAGGTTGTGATATTGATTTTATTTTTCAATATAATCTCCCTGGACCTCGATGCACTTTGCCCATTTGTCTTTGAGACTGTCTATGCCCTTGCGATAGAAGTCTTCTGACTGGCCCCTCAGTAGCTGCCTTGAGTTCATCATCGTCGCCAAATCTTGTACCACGCAAGCGTGATTTCAAATTGCGAAACAGATAGAAGTCGCTTGGGGTCAGATCTGGACTGCAGGGGGATGGTTAAGTTGTTAAACGCCACATTGTTGAAGTCGGCATGTGCAATACGACTTTTGTGCACTGGAGCGTTGTCATGAAGAAGCATAACTCCAGCAGTCAACATGCCGCGCCTCTTCTTCTTGATCGCCGCTCTCAATTGCTCAAACAACTCAGCATAGTAGGCTGCTGTTATTGTAGTTTTAGGTGGTTTATAGTCTATAAGTATCACGCCCTTTGAATCCCAGAAAATGGTCGCCATGATCTTGCCAGCAGAAGGCTTAGTTCTGAACTTCTTCGGTGCAGGAGAGTGCTTATGCTTCCATTGCTTGGAATCTTGCTCGGTGTCGGGATCCCAGTGATGAATCCACGCTTCATCCCCTGTAACTAGACGGGCATGAAAGTTATCGGGATCAGCATTGTAGATGTCCAAGAGCTCACGACTGAATTCAACTATCTGGTGTCGATCTTGTGTATTTAAATTTCGTGGCACCCATCTTGCAAACACCTTGGGCATATGCAAGTGTTCATGAATTATATTGCAAACACTTCCATGAGAAATGCCACACTCTGAAGATATCTCGTCTTCCTTTATTCTACGATCGGACATGATTAAGCCCTGGACCCGTGCAACCATATCATTTGTCATGGCTTCAACAGGCCTTCCTGGGGGTGGATCATGGTCCAAGGAGCTGCGACTCCGCTTAAGCTCAGCTGACCATTTTGCAACAGTAGGATATTGAGGGGCTTTCTTCCCATACACAGTGGTCATACTTTTATGTATTTCGGTCGCATTCAGCCCTCCTTTCGTGAGAAACTTGATAACCGCACGATGCTCTTTTTTAGAACTTTCCATGATTACAGGAGGGTACCTGTGTTCAACAGACTGTAAACCTCAAGTAAATGATCGGGAAGGGTTGTTTATGTCTGTAAACTGTCGTTAGGTGGCCTATCTCAATAATGACATCAATGAGGGGTGTATCAATACTCATTTCTATGAACTTGTTGACTTCCCCTCGTATCTAAAATGATATGAAATTATATCTAGGCCAAATCACATAATAACCTTCAATGTCTACCTTATGGACACCATATATTATCCAGATAATTAGATATTATAGATTATGTTGGTTGTAGCCATGTTGTGATCAGATAATGTTTGATAACATAGTTAATATACCAATGATTGTACAAGTTAATTATAAAGATACATTATGGAAGATTAGATAAAGACCTGCCAGTTCTCAATATGATAGTTAAATAATAGACAATGTTACGGGAATATTCTTAAAATTTCAGTCTAAAAAGCTGACAGTTCTCACTATAATAGTTAAATAATAGACAATGTAACGGGAATATTCTTAAGATTTCTGTCTATTATTTTCACGTGGATACAATATGTATATCCCTCAAAAACACTTCAATTTATTTAAGCCACGGGTGACGTAACAGTTTGTGATCCGTTGTCCGGTTCTCCACGGAACATTTCTAGCCACGAGAACGTACTGGAGATGCTGCTGCTGTAAAGATGACCAAACATATGCATCACCATATGTTCGTCCCAAAATGACCTAGTTTGTGTTCAGTGGACGTTAAACCAAATTTCTTTTCTCCCACTCAAGTCTGAATCACCCTTGCTAATGATTAAATAGAATATATTAAATTTGTAAAGATGTCCATACATATTCTTCATCTGGGATATTGATAAAAGGGACATTTTATCCCAATTTTTGGTGTTTTTCATTTATTTCTGCTTTTTTTTATTATGGCTGTGCCAGTCAGTTTTATTTTTTATTTTGTTGGTAGGAAGGTTGCTAGTTGTGGGTCAAATTCAACTTTGGTGCTAGTCCCTGCCAAGAACGAACTATAGCCTCTCACACCTTAATTAATAAACTATTGTCTGTATCTTTAAGGTACGGTGATTTAAGGTGTCCCTGATTTATTAAGTAATAAACTATTGTTTATATCATTATGTATATTATTTACACCTGTATACAATATCTGTGACGGAAAGACACTTACCTTAAATCTGTTATAATTAGAAAAACCAACGTTAAATGCTTCTCTGAATAAAATGAACTGCTCACTGACGTAATGATACGGGCACGGCCCCCAAAATATTCCTACGCCGTCACCTTTTTCGTCTTTCTCTCCCTTTCTCCTTTTACTCCGTTTTGCATGGCGATCTTTGTTGACTTTTGTGGTGTAGAATCGTAGAAAGGGGTTTGAAAATACATTTTCTGTCAGGTTTTGGTGAATATTCCGGATTTTGGGGCGGAAGGGTACAAAAGAAAAGAGGTTGGGGGTAAAGTTAGACGAGAACATTAAAGTCAATTGGGAAATCATTGGTGATCTGTGGTCACATAAAAGAGTTACCTCCCATTGATCATCATCAAATATCAAATAACATAGCTAATAAAATTATTGTTATGGATGATACATTCCTGTCTCATAAACAATAAGATCTTTTTCCCAAGAGCCCAGAATTAACAATTGAGCATGGCGGGAGCTAGACCCAAGAGCCCTCTACATAAGCGCCCCCCCCCCCTCACACAGACAGGCACACGCGCACACACACACACACACACACACGAATGATGGGGCCCCTAAGGCCCCCCCATTCAATCCATTGTTGGCCCGTACGTGTTGCGGTTGACACCCGAACATTCGGTGTAATCAGGCGATGCCGCGCCGTACTTTTGAGAGTATTCGGACCGATCCAAGGTACGGATTCGTTTTATTGACGAATTCCGAATTCCGAATAACATGCTAAATTCACGTTGCCATCTACTCCCACTCTAGAATTACTGTACAGATATAGGGCGATCCATCGTCAGAAAAACATCCAACAAATAGACAATATCTGAGGCTTATTTTAACATCAAATGATAGGATTTACCAATTAAATTCATTTATCAATAATCGAAGCCTCGACACGTTTGATAACCATTTGGTCATTTTTTTTATTTTTTTATTTGGCTCAAAATCTGATCGGCTTCCATGATCAAGATAGTTGGACACAGCTCGCCAAATATTCCTACACCGTCACCTATGAAACAAGGGCCAAAGTTATTTTTAGTCTTTCTCTCCCTTTCCATTTTGACCCTTTTTGCATGGCGATTTTAGTTGACATTTTGGTGTAAAATCGAAGAAAAGGGTTTGAAAATACATTTTCTGTCAGGTTTTGGTGAATATTCATGATTTTGAGGCGGAAGGGCACAAGAGTTGTGTATCTCAAGTTTTACATGAAGAACCTCATACGTGCTTTTGGGCAAGAGTTTGTCACATGTTGCTCCGTCTGTGGCAGAAAGGGTTCTACCCAACGAAAATTTGGGAAACGGTTAGAGCCGGTCTAAGAGACGAGAATTAGCATTAAAGTCAATGGAAAATCATTAGTGATCGGTGGCCAACCACGTAAAAAAAAAACTTCCGGTTGCGCATGGGAGATGGAACCTTTCGTCAACTATTAACAACGGTCCCAGACAGTCACACTCCGTACGTTGTAAACTAGGAGGTCTTGGGCGACCGTTACTATAATGAGCATATGCTACAGCCTGGGCGACCTTCGGTTATTGGGATTTCTTGACTATGGTCGAACTAACTGAATCCGAATTTCATTTAGTCCGGACCATAGTCCGAAAATACTGAATCATGCTATTGTGGCATGGTCGGAGTAGTTCCAAGATGGCGGTGTCGATCAAACGAAAGTGTAGAATATGTAGAAATAATCTATTTTTGTTAATTTTAAGAAAGCTTGAATGAATTTTAAATGGTTGCTACTTCTATGACCAGATATTTTTGTCTCGTATGTTATGTCTGAATCTATGTAAGTCTAAAAATTACGCATTATTTCAATATTTGCGCTATGCAAAAAGTAAAGTCAAGTTACTTTGTCGTCTCTAAAATTAATTTAACTTGCGCAAATTTAACTTCGTGAAAGTATTATTTGTTTATTAAACTATAAAACACAGCGATTCATTATCCTCCATGGAGAGATGTATAGACCTTCCTTAGGGTTAAGGAGGTTTTTTTCAGGTTTTTTTCATGGTTATGCTCGAGGTCTAAAGCAGAGTAAAATGACATCACCATGTCCCTGGGGACAGAAATCTTTGAACAGACGATGGTCCGGACTATTCGCGTTCGGTTTCTAGTTCCGACCACTAGCCGTGAAAAAATTATAACCGAAGGTCGCCCTGTGATGTTACAGCCATTTAACATTGAAGTCAATGGGCAAATAATTGCTAGTCCATGGCGTTTCTATTTATGTTTTTAAATATACTTTTCTAGAGACATATTCATCACGCATTTGTCTTTCAGTTAGTTTTATAATTGGTGTACAATATATTTTCTTGGCGTAAGAATCCTACGTCCATATTGTATTTATTCTTTGGGGTGTGACTTTTTCTTCTTGATCTTCTAGGGATTTACGTCCGCTTCCACCCCGGGGATATCACATCAAAGACAGACGACCTTACTCCTTGCTATTGTCACATACAACCGGGGAATCAAAACCACGCCAGTTGACTCAATGACTAACCTAATGATACAACGCGCACACGCTATATATAACCACTTGTCCTTCCAGCCCTCTTCTGAAATTGGAACGGCGAGTAGGAAATGTTCTTGAATACCGTGGCAAGCTCGTGTGCTTTATTGATTAACTTTCTATGGAGATGGTACTATTACAGACCCACTATGGTGTCTAAGTCCGTTCTCAATTCCGTTCAGTACCGTATTTACAAAGATGTTATGGATTGATATGACAATTGGCACAGGCGATTTATTTGAATATTGTAAGAGCTGAATCTCTATAAAGAATATCATTCCAAAGTTTGTCCAATTCCGTTCCGTATTTACAAAGATATGATGGATTAAAGATTTCACATCTTTCAATTGCCGGTATAATACATCGAACTTGTGTTAGTGCTGACCCCAGCTGATATTTTTGTTTTTGTCGGTTAATGTATATAAATAGGTTAACGCCATCACCTCCTAGTCTTAGAATATCAACAGGCAGTGCCAACAGGGTGAAGGTCACAGCACTAACAGGGTTCATAGAACTATATAGACCAGTAGTACGACCGTAAACATTAGAGTAAAATATAATTTTAGGTCATTCCTCCCGCAATACTCCTGACGCACAAAAACAGACTAGCGTTCAGTCGGAACAAAGAAAAAAAACACGCGCAGTTCTTAAAACGAACGAGTGAGTCTTCCATTGGTGTTGATTTTCTGTTGTAAAAGTAAAGTTGTTCGTTGAGATATTGGAATATATTTTATATATTTGGTGGCCGCCTTCACCACAGATAAGGTAATATAATTAAATACCATCACGATAAACTATACAGAATGCTGGATAAAAATACTAATTTATGTTTTTGTAGTTATATCTGTGTACCAATAATTCTCGGGGTGGTAAAATGGCCTAATGGTTCTTATTACTTATCACAGGTAACTTTTAATGAAACTACAAATTGATATATTTGTATTATATCAACTGAAAAATATGCTTTTATTAAGATGAGTGTAGACGAATGTGTGATAGTGTGTGTGTGTGTGTGTGTGTGTGTTGGGGGGGGGGGGGCGTATAGTTATATATTCAACTTTTAAACTGTAAATATCCTGTGAAATTATTCTTATAGAATGAAAAAAGAATTATGTATTTTGTATATTGTGTGAATAAATATATCTACAAGAAAAAAAAGCGCGTGCGCGCTGTATCATAGGGTTTTTCATTGAGTCATCTGGCGTGGTTTCGATTCCCCGGTTGTAAGTGACAAGGAGTAGAATTGTCTGTCCAAAATCGTGGGTTTTCTACAGGTCCTCCGGTTTCCTCCCACTGCTAAAGACTCCTACGTGCAAGCAAATTATTGAAATAAAATTGAACCATATGTTATTCCCGAAATGACCTAGTTGTGTCGAGTGGACGTTCAAACCCCATTTCTCTCTCTCTCTCTCTCTCTCTCTCTCTCTCTCTCGCTCTCTCTTTCACTCTCCCTCTAGTTCTCTTTCTAAGATAAGATTTTATTGTATCAATACGTCCATTTAGAGCAGCATACGTCGTATTAAAAAAAATTGAAAAAAATACAACAAAATACAAACATTTGATATAGAAATGGAGAAATACACAAAAACAAGACATCATTGGATCCTGTTTTTTAATGCTAACCGAAGGACTATACACTGTTTCAAAAGTAACATAATTATATAAAACGATTTAAATTTAAGTTGAGAAATGGAAAAATTTATTGAATGCTTTACTGAATAAGTACAAAAGTCAGATTCGCTTTTTCAAAATAAAATTAAATGGGGGTATAAAACATCAAAGAAAGAAATTCGTTAGAAACTTTGAGCTTACTTCTATGTATTTGATCAAAGTCGTCGTGATGTCAAGGACAATGAAATAGTAACAAACAATAGGAAGAACACAATAGTGAAATCTTTCATTAAATGTCGCAGCACAATATTATCGTAGTGTGCTTCTCTCCAAATTATATCTTTTTTAAATGAAATCGGATTTAACATCCTACTGTTCTAACTAGGTTAATGAAGACGGACATACGCCAAACAGTGTCCTTATATCGAATTCAAAGTGTTCCTTTCTTTTAAGTGCACGCCAATGTGTGCACGGGACCGCGATTTCACGTCCCATCTGTCCTGCACCACCACTGACAAGGGACTTGACGGAAATTTCCGATGAACTTTCTTTGTCAATACAGAGATCGAACAGGAAACCTCCCAATCCCTAATGCGACATCCGCATTGTAGAGGCCAAGCGAATATTTACTGCGGATCAGTGTGGAAACCTCCAGGCTAGCGAGCCAACGTAGTCAATTACAATTATACAGTGGACAATAAACAACCAATCTGAACTGACATTAATACTTTTAAAAAAACACAACACAATTTATATGGAATACAACCATCGTTTTATACACTTATATTACAAAGTTTCGACAAGTATTCTCTTATCGTTATCAAGTACATCATCATTTGCACACTGATCCGCAGTGAATATTCGCTTGGCCTCTACAATCACTGATAAGGATGACATCGATGCGACTTAATGACTACAAAATA